TATGACATGGTATGGTTCTTCCACAGTATGCGATCAGGCTCTTCACAATGATTCTGATGAAATGTCAGGAATGCCGTCATCATTGGCCCCGCCGACACGCCGTTCGAAGATGGTACATTCCGCCTGGTCATGAACTTTGAAGAACAATACCCCAACAAGCCCCCGGGTGTGAAATTCATAAGCCAGATGTTCCATCCCAATGTGTATGGAACCGGCGAGCTCTGCCTCGATATTCTGCAGAACCGCTGGAGTCCGACATATGACGTGGCGGCTATTCTGACCAGCATTCAAAGGTAGGGGGAGCTTGATTATGAAGGATTACTACACATGTACTAATATGCGGCTTGTCAATTCTAGTCTTTTGAATGACCCCAATACTTCATCTCCGGCCAATGTCGAGGCCTCGAACCTCTACAAAGACAACCGCAAAGAGTATACCAAGCGAGTGCGAGAGACAGTCGAGAAAAGCTGGGAGGATAACTGAGCCAACGAATTCGTTCAGCCGAATTTGATGGGCTGATACTCTTATGAATGAGCACAACAGCTTGACCGTTTGATCTGCACAGCATGGGGTTTCTGGCGCTTGGTATCTTGTTCTTTCAGGTTGTGTACTCTTTCTCTCTCCTCTTTTTTTGACGTCATTCTCTTTCCATTTCATACTTCCTCTCTTTTTTGATATCTCTAGTTCATTGTTCTTCATCCTTTCCCAAGTCATGTCAGGCGAGCTTACAAGATTAGTCTCATACTCATAGTTTTTTGATGCATTAGCCTGCTTTCCTTGCAAACTGTGCGCTTTGATTCCTTGGCGTGTGCACTGTAGAGAATATAAATGGGCATGCAAGTAAACTAGATGTTCGATTACCTATGTTACATGTATGTACATAGGTCTCTGCTTCCTTGTAATTAAGCTTATCTGCAGGATGGTTGCATATCCGAGTTCGGGGGCGGTAAGCCCAAACGGGGTGACTGTCAACAGTTGAAATCCCACTCTTTCGCGTTAACCCCCTCCCCTGCAAAGTCCCGTTGTAGGTCTTATTGGTTTGGCCGTCCTTTCTTTGCGGCCTGACTGTTGCTTTATTTTTTTCTTCCTTCATCCAGCGTTTTGGTCCACGGTGCACGTGGACCCCCTGATCCTCAACCCCCTCCTCCGAGCCACTACACCGCAACAGACGAGTTCCAATTTGAAACGCCTCTGACGAATTCCGAGGTCCACCTACCCCTTCTCGGGGTATATCTTCTAGCTTGCGCGTATCATAGCCAAGTCACACTCTACAAACATGGCGTGAGTATATACTCGGTCCTATCGTGCGTTGGCCATCGCTAATATGGTTCCACAGGTCCGCGGGGTCGAACACCATCAAGGGTACGCACAGACTGGCACAATAAATCAAGGCGCATTTTACTGGAGTTGAGACTGATTGTGTGTCTATAGTGGTTGCTAGATTCCGTCCGCAAAACAAGGTCGAATTGGCCTCTGGGGGTAAGCCCATTGTCGAATTCGAGAATGAAGAGTCATGTAGCATCAACGTGAGTCCGATCTGAAACCAAAACCCACGAGGGATATACTGAACGATATTTTAGTCCCGAGAGGGCACAGGGGCCTTCACGTTTGATCGGGTGTTCCCTATGGACACCGCGCAAAACGACATCTTCGACTTCTCTATCCGACCGACTGTGGATGATATTCTAAATGGATATAACGGCACAGTTTTTGCCTATGGTCAGACTGGTGCCGGAAAATCATATACGATGATGGGTTCCGACATCGATGATGACATAGGGAAAGGTATCATTCCACGCATGATCGAGCAAATCTTCGCCAGTATCTTGACTAGCCCGAGCAACATCGAGTACACCGTACGGGTCAGCTATATGGAAATCTACATGGAGCGGATCCGTGATTTACTCGTACCCCAAAACGACAACTTACCGGTCCACGAAGAGAAAGCTCGCGGAGTCTACGTTAAAGGATTGCTGGAAGTGTACGTATCCAGCGTGCAGGAGGTCTACGAAGTTATGCGCCGGGGAGGAACAGCACGCGCCGTCGCTGCAACCAACATGAATCAAGAATCGTCTCGCTCCCACTCCATCTTCGTTATCACCGTCACCCAGAAAAATGTCGAGACTGGATCCGCCAAGAGTGGTCAATTGTTTTTGGTTGATTTAGCCGGTAGTGAAAAGGTCGGAAAGACCGGCGCAAGTGGCCAGACTCTGGAGGAGGCCAAGAAGATCAACAAGAGTTTGAGTGCGCTGGGAATGGTCATCAACGCATTGACTGATGGCAAATCGACACACATTCCTTACCGTGATTCCAAACTCACTCGAATTCTCCAAGAATCCCTCGGTGGTAACTCTCGAACGACCTTGATTATCAATTGTTCGCCCAGCAGCTACAACGATGCGGAAACAATCTCAACCTTGCGTTTCGGTGTGCGCGCCAAGGCCATCAAGAACAAGGCCAAGGTCAACGCAGAGCTGAGCTCATCTGAGATGAAGCAACTACTGCGCAAGGCGCAAAGTCAAATGACGAATTTCGAAAACTACATCTCAGCGCTTGAGGGCGAAGTCAGCATGTGGCGTAGCGGTGATAGCGTTCCCAGGGACCAATGGACTCCCTCGCGAGGAAACGAAATTGTCAGCGCCACGAAGACTGAAGCCCGCGCCCCACGACCAGGTACCCCCTCGCGTTTACAGGAGACTGCGCGTTCAGAAACCCCCCCGCCCAGATTCACGGGTTGGAGATCGGTCCAGCACTCCCAGCCTGGTGCTGGAGAAGGACGAGCGTGAGGAATTCCTGCGCCGTGAGAACGAGTTCCAAGACCAGCTCTCGGAGAAGGAGTCACACATTGTCAACGTGGAGCGCAGCCTCCGCGAGGCACGCGACGAGCTTAGGTCTATGAAGGAGAATGGTGCACGAACCGGCAAGGATAATGAACGCTTGGGAACAGAAGTCAACGAGCTCCGCATGCAGCTCGAGAAGGTCTCCTATGAGAGCAAGGAAGCCGCCATCACCATGGATGGCCTCCGGGAGGCCAACTCGGAACTCACAGGCGAGCTAGATGAAGTGAAGCAGCAGCTTCTGGATGTCCGAATGAGGGCAAAGGAGACCACTGCGGCACTTGATGAGAAGGAAAAGAAGAAGTCTGAAAAGATGGCGAAGATGATGGCTGGGTTTGACCTCGGTGGAGATGTGTTCTCCGATAACGAACGCAAGCTGCAGGATCTCATCCAGCGTGTCGATGCTCTACACCAAATCAGCTCCGAAGGTGAAGTCATTGCACCAGATGACATCCTTGACCTTCGCACGAATCTTCTCGAGGCGCAAGGCTTTATCCGACAAGCCGAGCTGACCGTGAACGACCGAAGTGACTTTGGCGAGCTGCAGGACAGCCGCCGTGCAGACCTGGAAAAGAGGCTAGATGAACTGCAACAAGAGTATGAGAGTCTCCTGACGCGCAACTTGGGCGAGGGCGACGTGGAAGAGATTCGAGGACGACTAGAGCAAGTTTACGTGGCAAAGAAGGAGGCTGAGAGTGCGGCGGCGGAGGATCTTCGCTCTGATATTTCGCGCAAGGACGAGGAATTGACCAAGTTGCGACAATCTCTTGTCGACACCCAGTCCCGAACCTCCACCAATGGTGCTGCAAGCAAGACTTTGCAGCAGCAGATCACCGAGTTCGATGCCATGAAGAAGTCTCTCATGCGTGACCTGCAGAACCGCTGCGAGCGTGTTGTGGAGTTGGAAATCTCCTTGGATGATGCACGAGAGCAGTATAACAACGTCCTTCGATCATCAAACAACCGGGCTCAGCAGAAGAAGATGGCCTTTTTGGAGCGCAACCTCGAGCAATTGACCCATGTACAACGTCAACTCGTGGAACAAAACAGTAGCTTGAAGAAGGAGGTCGCAATTGCTGAGCGGAAATTGATTGCCAGAAACGAGCGCATTGCCAGCCTGGAAGCCCTGCTCCAGGAGAGCCAAGAGAAGCTTACCCAAGCTAACCACCGGTATGCGTTGACTGATTCCTCCGGATTTTGCTCGACAACCCTCAATACTAACTACGCTGATAGATTCGAAGCTCAACTCACCGCTGTCAAAGAACGTCTTGAAGCGGCGAAGCAAGGCTCCACCCGCGGCTTACCGAGCATGGATGGGAATGCGAGTTTTAGCTTCGGGGGTTCGCGCATCGCGAAGCCACTACGCGGGGGTGGTGACGGGCCGGCGAATGCGAACGTCGCGGGCGTACAATCGCAGGAAGCGACCGGGAAGCGCAGCAGCTGGTTTTTTGATCGCCGATGATCCTAACCCACTGTCCGAAAGCTGCTCGTTCCTTGCACAACTGCTTCTGAGGTTTGATGGCAGTCTGCCGTGCGCCCCAGATCTCGTGCAATTCGTGCTTCTTTCACTAGCATGTGGTTGATATTGGCTGATATTGGTCTATATTGATTCCTCTTTACGCTGTCTCACGAGTCTCTTCTTCTTCTTTGATCATCTGGTCAGCAGGCTTTTCTTGTTTCTGATGTGGTTTTGATACATATTTTCTTTCCCATGTTTCCTTGGTGGTTATTTTTTTTTCATTCCAGTACATTAGATCGCACCCTGCATGCCGGAGGCTGGCTCTTGCTTCTTCCAGATACCCTTGTACATCAATTCCAGATAGAATGGAGAAGAGCTAGTAGTCAGTCTGCGGTGGGGTCGACTTTAGTGATTTTGATGTGACATACTACTCTATGTGAGATGATAGTGGATTGATTCAATCCCCGTCAAAGCCAGCTCATGATTGCCGTTCTGCCTGAAGGAGGTTATAGTCTTTACTTAGCAGAACACACTCAAAGTCAGATCCAAGTCGGGAGTCCAAAGCCAAGTTGATAGACACTGTATACATACACACTTCACTACCAAGATTGTACTTGTCTCAAATATACAAAAGACATGGGGGTAATCGAAAAGAGGAAGTCAACACAAAATAAACTAGACAAACAGAGAAAATAGTGGAAAAAAAGAAAAAAAGAAAGCAGAGAATATGCAATGCATCCCCCTCACCCGTCCAAAAGAGAATGCCTCACATTGCGCCAGTATTTCGCCCAAGCAACAATCTAAACCAATCCGTCGTAAAGCGACAAGGCACTGACGATAGTTTCGTCCCGTTTGCTGCCTTCTTTGAATTCCTCGATGTCGAGACTGCCATTCTCATCCTTGTCCATCATCCGGAAGATCTTCCGTACACGTTTCTCCGGGGTATCTTCGTCCTCGGGGAGTTTCACCATAGATCCAACCTATATTCCCGTTAGTTATGAGAATATGATTTTCACAAACCTTCTGTTGTACACATACCATCTTATAGATCGCCTCGACAATGGCCAGCATTTCGTCATAAGTGATTTTTCCATCGCCATCAATATCGTACAATTGGAATGCCCAATCCAGCTTATCCTCCATCTTGCCCCGCGAAGTCACGGAAAGGGCGCAGATAAACTCTTTGAAATCGATCATCCCGCTGTTGTCCGAATCGAAAACGCGAAAGACATAATTGGCAAAGGATGACGGGTCGCCGAAGGGGAAGAACTGCCGGTAGATTTTCTGGAACTCTTCCTTGGTCAGGGTACCGGACGGGCAGTCCTTGAGGAACCCTATAGGCATGCCCACGATTAGCGAATCGCCCTTGAATTTTGTCTCAGATGTGTCCGATATCTCCGCATACCTTTATACCATTGTTGTAGCTCCTTCTTATCGAAATGTGTTGCCCTTTGCAGCTCATCGAGCTGCGTCGGCGAAAGCTTTGATTGACTGCGGAACACGGGGTCAGCACGGATTCTCTGCATTCGGTTCACGTGGTATTCCACATCTCAGACCGAAAGTACGGGGGGCCTTTGGTCCTGGGGTCTTCCCCGGGATAAACGCGGATCCTGGAACCCGCGGGGTCCATTCCACCGCAATTTCAAACAATGCGAGAGGATGGTAGAACTTACGACTTGCCCATGGTCAGAAACACCTTGAACAGTATTAAGCGCACCGACTTCAAACCAAATCGGGGAGAGGTGATCCTGCAATGAGCTCGGTGGTGACGCGGGGTAAAAACAGGCGGGATGTGTGGCTGAGTTGTGGCGAGTTGGTCTACGCAAGGAGTGGCCCGAGCGACTTAAAAGATGAAACAAGATGAAACAAGATAAACTAATACAACAAATTCGGGATTCTAAGAATAGAGAAGAAGTTGAAGATGGAGGTGGCGAGAGAGAGCGAACGGGGAAGTCCAGAACATCCCGAGGCTCTGGGCTTGGCACTTTTCTATCAACTTGACAATCTCATTATACCGGCGTATAGGTACCTACCTAAGGTATATATACATACAAATCCACTTTCATTTCTCCATATCAAAACATTTGTAATCTATCTGCGATGAGGTAGAACTTCCAAGGTTCTCTCCAAGCAATGACGACGGGGCTTATTTTTTTGGGACGAGTAAAAAGAAGAAAAAGAAGAAAAAAAGGAAAAAAAAAAAGAAAAACACACAACAAAACACACGAGAACAGGGAAGTCTTCTCTCGTGTGAAGACCCCAAGATGCAAGGCTAAATGTTACAAGCACCAATAGGAAGATATTTAATCCACCTTGATAGAGCCATAGATACGGTGGATGAATGCCCAACTGGCGAAGAAACCAATGGAACCTGGACAGGAGTTAGCAAAAAAGAAAAGTCCATCCGGAAGACACGGAATGAAAAACGTACCAGTCAGAACAAACACAACGAAGGCGATCAACGCCGAATAGCCCACATAGAGCACTGCTCCAGTTATTCCACCAAAGCTAACCCGTGTCGCCCAGAAAATGAGTGCATTCACAAAGACATATCCTCCGGTCATACCGGCACCTATAAATGCGCGCCAGTGCCACCGGTAGTTCTCTGCACATAGCAAGAAATATACCAGCAAGACGGTAGTAGCCGCAGAGGTGATGATCATCAGGCCGTAGCAGAGGAACAAGAAGCCAAACATGTAGTAGATCTTGTTCGTCCAGAGGGAGGTCATAATGAAGTACAGCTCGACGAAAATCGCACCGAAGGGCAGAATTCCAGTCAGCAGAATTGATGGAATTGTGCGCAGGCTACCAGCCATCGGAGGAATCTGTCGGGGGATTTGGTTTGTTTTAGTAGGACCCTCGAGCGGCTATTGGGAAGTGAAGTTAGTTGTTTGAATGTTTGCATATTTGGGGGGGGATCTTGATACCGATTGCTTGAATCCCAACCAGCTGCCTGCCACACTCAATGGCACACTGATAACAAACCAGATCAATACCAGTGCCAACATAGTTCCAAATGGCACGGCACCACTGGATCCCTTTGCCCAAACAAAGAGATTCAGGGTGAAGAAAGTACCAAATATAATGCCAGGGATGAACAAAGGTGTCATGATAATGTTGCGCCTCCAAGCATCGCCACCAAATGTTTTATACACTCGCGCCGACACGTAACCGCCGATACCACCGAAAAGGGCAGAAATCAGGAGAATGGCAGTAGCCAGGAATCCACGGTTGGAAGGGGAGAGGAGGCCAAGCAGGGCAAATGCTAAAAATTCAAGAATTAGTACCCAAGAGGAGAAGAGCGTGGGTCGGACTACCTACCAACCGTCACACCGGTCATCATGAACAGCTGGGCGCCGTTGCCAACCATCACACTCAGCAGCAATGGAGACTGGGGGCACCGGAAGACGTCGCCGTGGACCAACTTCCAGCCAGAATCCTCCTGGACTCCGTCTTCGATCGCAGCCGAAGTACTATCCAAATCCTCCAGGTTGAATGAATCCAGCCGGTTATAGCGAGCAATATCCTTCTTGAGTGCGCGGACTAGAATCATGCTGACCATACCCACGAGGAAAACCACAAACACAGCCGAGTTGATGAGAGAGAACCAGTGGATCTTGGGGTCATAGACATGAAGATACTTATCCCATCGGGTAGCCCAGGCTGTGGGGGACTCCTTCCAGTACACACTATACGTCCAGGTGACTGTAGTCTCCCCATCCTCGTCGAGCGTAAGGACATTGCCCGGGGTACCACATTCGGCAGTCCCACCTTCTAAATTCCGGGAATCCTTGCGAGACTCGGGCTGGACAAGCACTCCAACAACGCGATATTTATCCTTGCCGCCGAAGCCCACCTTATGGTAATCAATCACAATATCGTAGTGATTGTTGAGTAGAGCCTGCCCGTTATCATCCAGATCACCCAGAGAGAAGCCGGGGCTGTAGAATTTGGTCTTGGTAACACCGTCATAGTTCAACTGCGCGGCTGGCAGCCCGTCCACAATCCAGTTTATGTTGTAGCCCTGAGCTATTCGCCGATTGGTCCATTTTGCGCTCCGATCATCGAATTTGGCCTCCGCACATATAGATTTGCACGTCTCGTTCTTTGCCATGTGAAGCTCGAATGGCGAGGTGCGAATTCGATCACCGAATAGAATGCTCCCTAGAGATTCCCTCACATCTTTAGGACCGTCTGCGGGTCGGCAGAACCCAAATGCTGGATGGTAGTAGTCATATGAGAAGACCGAATGAAGTTGATCATCGCGAGAAAGGCTGGGGGTGAGGTGGTTGACATAAAGTGGAACTGCTTGTCCTTCGTCGTAGGAGGTTGGTGCAACACCTGGTAGGTAAAAGGCCGTAGTTAAAGAGGGAATAGCTAGTAGAGTCGACGAGAGAAAAAACGCTCGATCGGTGAACCGCATGTTGAGTGTCTCTATAGAATTTGGGAGCCTGGAGATCAACCCCAATTGTTTGTTTGTTTGGCAGAGGATAGGAGTAGAGAGCTAAGGTCTCAATGGGCGTTCGTGAAAGAAAAGGGGGTTCTTTACAGCGAGAAGCTACCCTAGGAAGTCGGAATCAAGGTCTCATCTGTGAGAAACTCGCGATACTCGAAGAGAGATAAAAATGCCAAAGTAACAAACCGCGAGTGACAGACTGGCAATGACGATCTACGGATGCCTGGTTTAGTGCCTTGATGCCTTGTTCTTATCGCACGTGACTGGGGTTATCGTCAAAGCGGCCAAATTTTTTTGTTTCGCGAATTATTGTTCTCTATAAACCATCGACCTTCAACCATGGCTCCAGCACAGGCGTCTGCACGCCCTCAAAGTCTATCGACATTGCTCGAGACTCTGAACACCTGTCTATCGACAACTTCCTCCTCTCTACCCAAGCTACACAAGGATGCGCCTTCCGATGTCACGATCGAGCCTCCCCAAGATGGCATCTCTCTCCTCGACACCAAGAGCGAAATTCTCCTTTCCTACTTGCAAAACCTCGTGTTCTTGATTATCTTCCAGCTGCGAAATGTGCCGGCGAAACAAACCCCGAAAGAGAAGAGCCAATCGACGGACAACTCCCTCGAAGATGATATTCGCAAGAAATTGATCGAGCTTCGGGTATTCCTCGAGCGTGGTGTCCGTCCTTTGGAAGGACGATTGAAGTACCAGGTGGACAAGGTTATCAAGGCCGCAGAGGATGCGGAGCGGACAGAGAAGGCTCAGCCAGCCAAGACCAAGAAAAGCCGCAAAGCCGCGACATCAGATAGTGAAGCCTCATCGGGTGAAGACGAGGATGCGAGCGGTAGCGAGGATGAGGAGGACATTGACGAAATGGCCTACCGACCCAATGTTTCTGCCTTTTCTAAGGGAGTGGCCGAGCAGAAGAAGGCTCAGCCCTCCAAGGGCGCCGTTGAAGGACCTGGAGATGGCATTTATCGCCCCCCGCGAATTATGCCGACTTCCCTGCCTACGACAGAACGCCGCGAACGCCAGGACCGCAGGCCCATTCGATCCAACGTCATTGATGAATTTGTCAGCGCTGAAATGTCGACCGCGCCTATGGCCGAGCCCAGTATCGGCAGCACAATCATTGATGGTGGCCGAACAGTCAAGTCGAAGAAAGACCGAGAGCGCGAGGCAGAGCGCACCACCTACGAAGAGACCAACTTCGTCCGATTGCCGAAAGAGACAAAGAAGGAATTGGCCAAACGGGGCCGCGGAAAGGATACTACATACGGTGGCGATGAATGGAAGGGACTCAACGAGGGCGCAGATAACATTGAACGTCTCACCCGGAGAACCAAAAGCAATGGAGCCGCACTCGAAAAGAGTCGGAAGCGAGTCCGCAACGAGGACGGACAACGCGGTGATGGTGTGGGCATGGGTCAAATCTTCGACAAGCGACGAAAGAAGGTTGACAGCTGGAAGCGGTAAAAAGTGGTTGCAGCGGGCAATTTCCATGTTCAAAGGCGTTTCTTTCTGGCATTCAATCACTTTGGAGTTTTCTTGATTACCCAAGGTCCATCTTGACCAATACATATCTGTATCTACATTCTACGACATACATTGAAGGATATGATATCCATCGGATCACCGGATCAATTCAATCTATGGCTGTGTGTGTGTATGCTATGCCTTCCAAGGTTACCGCCGGAAGATAATGACTCGGCATGCCGACCAAGACCGGCATCTGGCATATAACCTTATGACCCTCCTAAGGCTGATAGTAGGGTAATTTTCGATATCTCTATCAATCATTTTATGGAAGAAATCACCTGTTTAAGAAGCACTTCTATATTTGGGTAAATATGTAGCTGTCAACTTTGATGTGACCAGGATGAGGATGAGATTCACATGTCAAACCTGGGCTGGATCGTCAAGAATGACGTCATTGCATACAGGGAGACAACTCTTGATATCTTGATCTCTTCCAAGGTTGATGTCTTTTGCTTCTTCACTTTCTAACAACACTCTTGAACCTTGAAACTCGAACCTTGAGCCTTTATCCTTGATCAAAATGGAAAACCCAGGTGCGTTGTTACTTTGATCTTCTGTGTTTATCTCCTGCTCATCCTTATAGTGGCCGATATACCTACTGTTATCCAGCATCTGACACAGTCGCCGCCGTCTTTGCAAGAAACCGTCCTCAAGCAGTATTTCACCAACAATGCATCTTTTGTTCATCCATTCTGTCGAGTACCCAACTTTGAAGGTAGCAGATGGTGGGTTTCAAAGATATTCCAATGGTACAAGATCATGTCCCCCCGGATCGAGCTAGAGATTCATTCTATCGGTATGTCAATACGAGAATTCTAAGGTCGCCGACAGCATAATTTTGACTGCAAACTCTGACCCAATACTCTAGCATTTGATGAGGATAAGCTCAAGCTCTATGTGAATATGTCACAGATCTTCTCCATTTGGCTTGTTCCATTCCATGTCGCTCCGGTGACTCTCACGACGGTCTTGGATCTGAGCCACGAGTCGGTCAATAGTCAGGATACGACCAATGGCGACCATAAGCTGTACTACATTTCCAAGCAAGAAGATCTGTATCAAACATCGGAGTTTGTCAAGTTTATCATGCCACATATTGGGTATTGGATTGTTTTCGGTTGGCATCTCTTTGCAACCCTTTTCTGTGTCCTGGGTGTGAGTCTGCTATGGCCCATACTGTGGCTTGAAGAAGAAGGTTATATCCCAGGTCGCTTTTTGCGCGGGGGTAATCTGGCTTACAACATGGAGAAGAAGATACCAGAAATTAAAGGGTAATGATGAAGCAGATTTTCTATCTTCGGGTGGGAATTGCCGAATACAAACGCTATGTCTAATTTTATGTATTTTATACCACATATAATACATGCAACAAAGCATCTTATTCAAAATTATGGTAACTCTCATAGCTGTCGCATCGTTACATATGCATCCTCCATGGCATTCACCACGTTCATATTATCCCAATTCAATGAGCTTTCTTTGACTTGCGCTGTTTCTTCAGCTCCCTGCGGAATGAGTTTTCTTGTTCCACAAATCGCAAGGGCATGCCTCGACCAATACCGAAGAACACAAACAACGCCCACTTCCAACGGAACGGGTTGACAACAAGGACAAAGAAGTACCAGTAGATCAGTTCAGCATAGGTAAAGAAGTCAAATGCTCCGGTGGGGGCCAGACGTTTCATAAACCTGGTAAAATCAATCCAGGTCTTCATCCACCCTTCAGTAGGTCTGGTCAATGGGTCGGTCAAGAACATGAGCAGGAATCGCGTGTAGATTCCAATGTGCATATTGCCCACTGTACCAATCGCATCGACGTAGGTGCTGTTGTTTGCGCAAATATCTGGGTATTTAGGTGGGAAGACTTGGAGATACCAACTAGGCGGTCCGTAGGGTTCATCGAAACACTCATCGGGCAAAAAGGTCAATGAAGGCCGCTTGAAACCAGTCGCCATGACGATGATATCTCCCTCGACCAGTCGTTCGCGGCCAGGTCCTCCCTTGGGAACGCCTTTAGATCGATAGTTAAACATCACACCATTCTCTTCCACGGAGACGATGTCACCTCGTAACCAGTGGGCTTTGCCCTCACGGATCTGATTAAACAGCTCGTCGTTGGCCATTGGAGTTCCGGTAAATATTCCCTTGTCTGTTGGGGCAATGTCTTCTAGATCACGATAGAAAAATTTGCGTAGCAACCATTCGGGAATCCACGAGAATGAGGTTTCCTGGCCAAAGATATTGCATGCTAGCAGAGACTGCACGAGAATATTGCGAGGAATGATCCATTTATCAGACCGAGAAAGAACATCAATCTCGGCAGCCTCATTCTTGACGGCGAACTCTAAGGCCTCGATGGCACTAGCACCACCTCCCACAATGAGCACCTTTTTGCCTTTCGCGTCTTTGCCATCCAATTCAGAGGAGTGGTAGATTTGGCCCTTGAATTTTTCCTGGTTGGGTAGCGGTGGCATCTTAGGATCTCCACACACCCCTACCGTAGCCAGGATACCATCGAAGCGGCCATACTGCTCTTCATCGTTGTTGATAATCCACTGGCCGTTCTTGGTCTTTTTCACGGACGTAACTTTAGTCTCGAAGGTAGTGCGTCTTTCCAGATCATATCTCTTCCAAACATTGACGATTTGCTCTTTGATCTGTTGCTGCGTGGGATATGCGCTGTCGAACTGGACCGAAGGGTGGAAACGGTACATGACACTGTGGACTTGTAATGCGGAGGTGGAATTGACTCTCTATAAAAGTATTAGTAGGTATTTTACCCGAAAACAGAAAGTAGAACTGACACTCCAGATGCCTCCCAATCCTTGTTCTTTGGATCTAGATTCAAACAATTGGACATCGAAGCCATTGCCAACACAGTGGGCAGCTGAGGACACACCGGTCAGGCCTGCGCCAATGACTGCAACTCTCTTTCGAGGAAGATTCGGATTCTGAGTGGTAGGGGGGTGGGGGTATAGGAGAAAATATGTAAACCAACACGGCTTGCATAGCCATGTAGAGCCAAGTAAAGGTCTCTACGAATGGATGCCGGATGAACGCCGATAGCGCTGAGATAAAGGACTCAGAACCCATGACTTTTTTTTTTCGTTTTGCACAAGTGAGAATTGAGGACAATTGAGAAGAAAAAAGAAGAAGAAACAAAAATATTTGTATTTCTAGTTCCCAGTGCTGTGACGTTATGCTCTTTCACATGTGATGGTACAGATTAGATGACATCATCGAAGAGAGAACCTGGATTTTAGGGCAAAAGAGGATCCCAGACACGTACCTAGCACATGTTTAGGTAGACCATAGCCTATGATATATTATAATATAGTAGTAGTCTATGTATTGACTTGATTTGTTCCCCATAATAGTCTCCACATAAGAAAATTCCATGTGAAACTGGTCTACCTTGCCCATTCCACCAATATCGACCAGTTTTAACAAGGTGTGCTTTAATATACAGTACTGTGAGGGTTTCTATAATCCCAACGGGAATGAATTAAGCGCAGAATGATCTGACTGGGGATTTAAAGGAAATTGGGTGATAGTCGAACAATATGTCACTCTCTGATGGCTATATACATATATACGTGTCGAATACGTCTAACAAATGACGAAGAAGTATTATTTTCTAAAAGAGTCATTCTTAAGATATAACTTTAATCGATTATGTTTCAAATGGTAGATGATATTCATCATCAAATATTATGTGGACATAATATATCCATCTTTATGTTGCATATTGTAACTATAGATTATCGATGTATGGCACCAGCCCATTGAAACCAGACTAAGGTTACTAGAATAGATTGTCTACTAATGCCCTATCCATTAGCACACTCCATACATTATCAAAATTGAATATAATCGAATAGAATTGCAAATTTGAATCAATTCCCCTTCATGGACATCCGTGGTTGTATACAAAGGGCGGTCACGGGTTCTGCCATCAATGCCGTCAATAGATGAGCCTCTTGACTCTGCGACCCTCCGGGGTATGGTTTCTTTGACCGTTAAGAATCTTTAAATGACATGATGATCGTTCAATCGAATTAATTATTCTGGTGCGACTCTTCCAGTCAACCAAGTATTTCGCTCTTTCAACATGGGTCAAACCCCCGTCCTTGACCAATTCCTTAGCAGTTTGCAGGAATTGGTCCAGAAGCGCGATGGTGCCAAAGTTCAGGACTTTCTTCAGCTCGAGCCCCCGCTCTCTGAAATTTACCAGCGCATGATCGGTGAACTACGACAGCACTATGGCCCGGGCTCCAAAACTGACGCCGAACTACTTCAACGATGCGAGCCTCTCGTGCCGCGATCCAAAGGTGGCTCATGGACGGCGTTCCCGACTTTCGTCAAGCTCTACCTGATCTTCCTGCGCGATATGAATACTGACAACTTATTGGAAACATACAACCAACTGAAGGCGCTGCTCAAGTAAGCTTTGCTGCCCTCGTGGTGGATTCTGAATCCACTCTGTCCCCCCCCTCCCCCACAGACGAGGATGCTACTCATATCTTGGAGCTTGAAAGCTGACCCAACCTTCTCATCAACTGCAGTCAATGTGTACTCGCCCTCGGAGATAGTCAAATGGGTGTCGTCGTTCTTCCTACGGTTCTCTACTTGTCCAAAGTTCTGGCAAAATTGGCAATGGGCCTCGATCGTCAGCCGGACCTGATCGCGCATATTCGACGAATGGAAGGTCTGGGGGATCAGGATGAGAGCATTGAGAAGGTGACTTTGGTGGAGAAATCGGCCAATGTGGTGCGCGAAGCTTTCATCAAGTGCCTCACTGATCGCACCGGCACCCCCGGCCCTACTGGCAAGCCGGAGGGCAAGCGCATCGGTATCTATCTCATGGCTAATCTCTGCCTGAAACTGCTTTTCCAGGTATGGAGGCATATCCCATAATATTTTACCTTTCGGAGCTTGATGCTGACAGAACACAGTGCGGCAAACTACGCAACGCCGAGCAGATGTTTGCAAGCATTAGCGCCCAATCACCCCCCCTTGGCCTACTTCCCAGCCTCACAGCGTGTCACCTACCTCTACTACCTCGGGCGATACCTTTTCGCCAATAACCTCTTCTTCCCCGCCCGCATCGCTTTGCAGGCCGCCTATGACCAATGTCACCGCCAGGCCATAAGCCAACGACACTTGATCCTTTCATACCTCATTCCGTGCAACATTATCTTGGGCCGATTCCCATCCCGGGCTCTCCTCCAACGACCGGAGGCACAAGGATTAGCAGCACACTTCCAGCCACTGTGCCAATTGATTGTCCGGGGAGATTACCTGGCTTTCCGGAAACATCTCTTATTTGGCTCGCCGACCGCCCAATGGTTTGCACGTAAAGGTATTCTGTTTACCCTCCGAAATCGATGTGAGATTCTCGTGTGGCGATCTTTCGCACGCAAGGTTTTCATGTATGGAGGTTCTTATGGAGGTCCACAGGCGCAGGCGCAGAAGGGACCTCCACCAGTCCTCAACCTTAAAAAGCTCGTTGTGGCTACCCGATGGCTACAAACGCAGCATGCATCATCCGGAAATGGCCCGGCCAGTGCTGTGATGATGCCCCATGTCTATGGATCACAAGTCGTTTCCGAACCTGCCGATATCGACTACGCTCGCCTGGAAGGGGCAGATGGAAGGGCCAGCCCCGCCACCGATCAAGAGATCCTAGAAAAATATGGTGATTTCTTGGCCCCGGATGGATTTTACACCGAGGAAGGGCGATCACAGCCCAATGTATCAGGTCAATTGGTGGATGGAGACCCAGAAGAGAACTATGACGACTGCGAACTGGATCCATATGCGTACGACCTCGACGATAGGACAGAGGCAGACATATCCATTATGCAAGAGATTGAGTCGATCTTTGCATCTTTGATTACACAAGGGCTGATGGGCGGTTACCTTCTCCATCGTGAGCCTCGATTCGCCGTTCCTGGTGCCAAAATCAAAGGGATCTTACCTACAGGATTCCCTAATGTTTGGCAAACCATCTCTGCCCGTGAAAGTCATGATTCCAGTGTTCCTGGTTGGGTACAGCCTCGGGCGCCTACGATCGGAGCAGCTGGAGGTGGTAGGGTAGTCAATCTTGCTGGAGCACGTCCAGTTGGTCTCCAATAAGTCTGGGTTTTCTATTCTGGTTTTTATGGGGATTTTTTTATTTTTTATGTTGATGATACCGATATTGTAGGTTCTGAATTTGATTCCATACAATTGCTACATGTATTATAACTATGTACTATAACTATGTACTATAACTATGTACATGGAATGTAGTGAATGTCGCAGTGGGCGTCACTTTAAATGCGGAGACCCTCGGGACCCTCCTGAGGTCCCCTCATTCTCCTCATTCCATTCTCTTGTCTCTTGTGTTCTTCTGGCTTTTGCTTATATTTATTTACTTTCTTTTATATCTATAATGGATCATACTACGGCTGTACGGGAAATTTCAGCACGGGTATCGGACTTCCATAGTCGCCAGCAACCATTTCGTATATATCATGGTACCACCAACAGTACTCGGCCCTCCAATCGATCACTCTCCAACACAGTCAGCACTGAACCTCTCAAGCACATCCTCGAGATTGATATCAACCGATGTACAGCTATAGTTGAGCCCAATGTCTCTATGGGTGCTCTGGTGGCTGCCACCAAGGCCCATGGGTTGGTCCCGTTGGTGGTTGTCGAGTTCCCTAATATCTCGGTTGGTGGCGGATTCTCCGGGACATCCGGGGAGAGTAGCTCTTTCCGCGAGGGATTCTTCGATCATACTGTCAATTGGATTGAAATGGTCCTGGCAGATGGTCAGGTGGTGAAAGCATACAATGACCGCGTCGAGACGGCATCGGAACTGGCGGATAAACACTCTGACTTGTTCTGGGGCACCGCATCCTCCTTTGGCACCTTGGGAGTAGTCACCCTGTTGGAGGTTCGATTGAAAAAGTCACAGCCATTGGTGGAGCTGAAATACTATGTCAATTCGAACATGAAGGATGCGGTGCGGGCCTTTGAGGAGGCTAGCGCTGATCCAAACACTGAATATCTGGACGGAATCGTCTATGCACGGGACAAGATCGTCGTTTGTGCTGGAAGGCAAGTCGAGAAATCTTCTAATGTAAAGCTGAGACACTTTACGCGCCGACAGGACGATTGGTTCTATTTGCATGTCGACCGAATTGCTCAATCCAAGATCTCCCACATCTCCGACCGAAAGAGTTCACCTCACATGCCAGATGCAGTGGACTACATTCCTCTCACAGACTATCTTTTCCGTTATGATCGAGGTGGTTTCTGGGTTGCCCGTTATGCTTTTCGCTACTTCTGTGTTCCATTCACCTTCCTTACACGTTGGCTTCTCAACCGATTCATGCACACCCGGGTGATGTATCACGCCCTCCACGTCAGTGGGCTTGCGCGTCGATATATTATCCAAGATGTTGGTGTACCAATATCTACTGCTGCTGAGTTCCTGGACTGGCTGGACCGGCCTGAAAACTTCGGACAATATCCACTTTGGCTCTGTCCGCTACCACCAGGAAGTGCCGGTGGGTTGGAAGGAGAGTTGATGGATGACGGCAAGAGAGTCAGTGTGGATACACAGAAAACCCAACTGCTCAATTTTGGAATCTGGGGGCCTGCTGCTACCACGGATCAGACCGGATTCGTGGCTCAAAATCGGCAGCTTGAACACAAAGTCCACAGTCTGGGGGGAAAGAAATGGCTATATGCGCATACTTACTATACAGAGGAAGAGTTTTGGACCATCTACAACAAGTCCGGGTATGATTCTCTACGGGCAAAATACCATGCACAACACCTTCCATCCCTGTATGAAAAGGTTCGAGTGCATGAATCCGATCTCCCTGGTCCGCATCGGGGAGAGTTCGAGATTGGGTGGAAGGGATCAATCAAACGTGCCCTTTGGGATGTTTGGCCATTTTGTGGTCTTTACGGGGTTTACAAGGCTTGGAGAGGAGGAGACTATCTGTTGCAAAAGGAGATTCCCAAAAAGAAGGCCGATTGAATAGGATAGTTCGAAGATATTCAGGGTATCGATGCATTTCGTCCCTCCAGGAACGCCAGGCCATCCAGCGCATATGCATGATGCAATAGGGAACAGGGAACATGATAAGTTGGAGAGGATAAGAGAAAATCCCCGAAAACGAAGACAACCCGGAAGAAGAACATGAAGAAAAGTACTCTGAAAGAGAAAAAAAAAATAGACAGAAGGCAGAGGAGCACATCTATTCTACCACAATGCGTCCTTCTAGTCGAGGAGATATTCCCGACGTCCAGGCCGGAGTAAATTCCCCTTCGCCGTCCATGGTATTTAACGTTCTGGACTGCAGACCTGCGTGCCGCATCCACTTTCGGACAACTCGCCGCGCAATTTGTAGACGATACTCTTCTTCGGCAGATGATTTTGCTGGCTGAGTGACGTAATTTGTAATTGGTCGCGAGGATGTGAGGATTTCTGGATCCTCATCTGAGTCGGAATCCATGATATTTCCATTCGTCTCGTTCCCGGTGGTAACGTCAGTGCCCTGTTCAATTTCTTCGGGAAATCGACCATAGTAGTATGCTGACCGGGCTGTTCGTCGAACAGTGGGCCGCGTGTTCGGTTTTTCGCCTACTTTTTTCTCGCTTTGGGGAGATGCCGGTTTCAGCCAGCCTTCACCGTGCAGATTGCGATGTACAGTACCCCAATGTCGGCCTAAGCTGGCGCTCCAACGGTTCCATTTCCCGAGTACTTTGAGACTTAGGAAATATTGCCGTAGGATTGTACTGATGAGCACACCGTTTTCCTCAGATACAAGCTCCTCCACGTCACCCCCTTCGGCCTGGATAAGCAATGACGTGAACCCGTCTTTGCCTCGGGCCATGTAGCCGCGTGTGGCGAGAAGATAGTCACGCTGTAAGTCAATGGGCTCCCCGCCAACACGAGCGAATGTAATGCGCGACCCCGGTGGTGCGTCCAGTTTAAACCCATAGTTGATATTGGATACTTGCGAGAATCGGCCCTCGAGTGCAGGAAGCTGGCTAACCCCATTCTCGAGTGCAGCCAGCAATGCATGGCCACGGACGCGTAATAATACCACGGGGTCTTCGAAGGGAAAGCAATTCATGAGATCCTTCAGCTTCAGTATTCCTGGCGGGTATATTTGATCGCCACGAATTGTGCCGCCCGCCATCATGGCACAATCAGCCGCATAGTAGAAGCGCATCAGGTCGCAGACAAAATTACCCAAGTTAGATTCACGCTGCCGCACAGTAGAAAACCGGCCATCGAGCGGGCTGACTGTGAATCCGACTGGCTTGTCTAGCTTGGCCTTGAGGCTGGAAGTGAGCCGAGCCACCATTGCCACTGTATCCGGATCTTCGGGAATTGAGCGAACAACGTCTCGCCGCATAATGTTAAAGTCCCAACCAGGTAAACCATCAGGTTTGCGGAAAGCTTCGATGTAACTCAACTGTTTGAAGTCAGTCCCTGACCGCATCACATGGATTCCATTGACGACGGCATGGGCGTAATAATGATCGTGGCCTCCGAGAATGATGTCCACAAGATCGGGTGACAGGTTGTTCGCTAGCTTGTAGTCATTCGGTTCACGTTGGTGGGTGACAGCGATGACGAGGTCGGCTCCCTCATCTCGGAGCTGTTTCGCAAGCACCCGAGCTGTTTGAGATGCGGATTTGTAGATCAGGTCAGGCGGAAGGGAGTTTATTGTGCCGAGCCTAAGATAAACCCGAGTTAGCAAAGAAATAAAGTCGCCAGTAGATGCAATCTAGTAGCGCATACCATTCTCTTTCCCCAAGACCTAATACGCCAATCTTGAGGCCATTAGATGAGGTCAACATGCGAGACTTCCCGCAGTCGGCTATTGGAGTATCCTCCCCTAGTGCCGGGTCGAGAACGTTCGCTAGAAGCCAAGGGAAGTGACATTGGCTGGCCAAATGGCGGAATTGGGCAACTCCAAAATCGAGATCATGATTCTAGATGCTTGAATTAGCGGTGCACATGTGCCTGGCGGGCAGCTGGTTGCCATACTCACACCCACGCACGCTACATCGGTGCCCACTGTGTTGAGGAATGGTACCATATGTCTGCCCTTTGTGATTGTACTCTCGATACTCGGGTTGAAAGCGTCGCCGGAGAAGAATGTCAGGATATCGGGCTGCCCGGCGAACTGTGGGTGATAACGGTAGTGGTTTACAAGGGATTGGAACCTAGACACCCCGCCGACGGGCTCTGCAGAGCCGGGTCTATAATAACATAATTTAGTATCACTCTAATTTGAAGTTTATAAACATCGAGAGAGGAAGGAGGGAGAGATGAGCGCATACTCAACGTGATAGACATCATTATAGTGGATCAGTCGTAGATCCGGAGACCCAGTTCGGTCAGCAGAATAAGTGACGGAGAGACCGTCTGTTTCGATGTTTGACATGGAAATTCCGAGGTTATGGCAAAGTTATTAAAAGATACTTGAAAGGAGGAGAGAGAGAAAGAGAGAGAGAGAGAAAGAGAGAGGAGAGTAAAGAGGGGAGATAAACATGAGGGGGAAGCTCCGGGGACCGCGGCATTGGTGCCTGGTAGATGCCTGAGGGCTAGGGTGTCAAAGTAATTATAGACCATTTGAATTAAAAAAAAAGCAAAGACCACAACGCCATGCAAGAGGTATCATAAAATTCAATAACCAGAATGATTTCACAGCTTCTGTTCCGTCACCGTCCATCGCCGCTTCGTTCCAGCTTCACGATCCCCCAATGGCTGAGCACTCCCCCATAAACCACGCTGCGACACTGTCCGTTGTGGTAACTGCTTCGTCCAACCTAGATCTGCAGACCTATCAGACCTATCAGAGTGTCCCGAATCTTGACTGACCGGCCGATCACCAAAGTTCGGCACGAGGTTGTCCTCTGCGTCCGCTTTATCAGTGGGTGACGAGATTGAGTTCCAAAGCCCAGAGGCACCTTGAGAAGTAGATGAACTAGTTGACGGGCGCATCGCCAGCGTCCATGCCCGAGAGCTAGTACTAGGTGGCCCGTTTGTTAATGTTTCCTGGAGAAGCGATGGGCGACCGCCAAGACGATTCCGATAGGAAGGAAGCGGAGGCGGAGGCGGTGAGAGTACAGGGACGGAGGGAGATGACAGTGAGGTGAGCTGTGAGGGATTAATTCCTGGGCGTAAATGATCGGTCGACGCCACAAGCTGCAAGGAGTATTCCCGTGACACCGATTGGTTATCTGGGCCCGGAGATTTAGGCGTGTGATCCATGTCATGTACAGGGTTATTGAACCGGTTGCGTCGCACAGCCATAGTGAGTGAAGCTGTGTTAATATCGAGTAGGACCGAGTGTCCATTCAATGAACTGATCAAAGCATTGCAATCCGCGCCATGTGTGATGATAACGAGGACCGTTTGTGTATTATCATCATTTACTTTGTTGGACTCCGCTGTAGACCCGTGGTCAGATAGATCCTGTTCCCGGTACCAGTTAATCATGTGCTGAAATCCATCATGCACTCGTTCGTGCATGGTACTCCATTCCTCGCCAAACTCGCCCCCTGTGCCCCAATAAGGTGTGCGCATACTGTCCCACTGGTAGTCAATCCTCGTACATGCGTTCCGTGCATGAGCAACATAGCCTGTAGGGATGGGATCTGAGGTGGAAACGGCGTAGGTGGGAGTTGGGGGTACGTAATATGCATCTAGAGTAGATGGCAGGTCCGTTTCCAGGCGACCGAGAGACTTCTTTGGATGCTTGAGATGGATAGGCTTCTGGAGAGTGTCATGGGTGCTGGCACGCTGGCGCTGGGATGTTGTGGAATGCAAGCCGCGGTCTTCATTATCCGGTGAAGTAGGATGTGACTGGCTGCCCCAACCGCCGGGAAAGTGGCCCGATAACGCCCTGGTCAAACCATCGGTGGCTGGGATGACCTCGGCACGACGGAGTAATTCCCCTTTTGCAGACGCCACCATTCTGTCCGAGCCCGGCGGGGGTGTGATCTGGTCAAAGTAGTCGGGTGATAGCCATTCGCCCAGAAATGCGTCGACACGAAGCAGACATCGCTGGTCAGGGGTTGATGAAACTGTGGGGACAGTGGGAGCTGAACTAGTTTCTTCGGATGCTTCTGTACCCGAGGCTTGTTGGTGGATACCGGCACTAACTCCTATTGCAGTCTGCAGACATCGAAGGTAAGGAGAGGTATGGATAATGACGTTATATCGTTGGGACAGGTCCGAAGGTGCGGGGGTGGGTTTTGCCTGTTTATCCGAGGTCGGATGATGGCTGGGCTGATTCTCTGGATCTTCCCCAGTGAACTGTCGAGCCCTTAGTAGACTTCCTATACGCACACCAAGTGCCCGAGACTGTATCCATCCACCATAGGAAAGAGGTGGATCGAAAGGGCTTGGAGAGGTTAAGTGCCAATCTTTGTCTGCAGCATCGAGGCGGGCGCCATGTCTAGAAGGCTAGTGAGCAGCGTAAGCAGTGCCATAGAAGTAAACACTCACCTGGCAATAAACACAATAGGTGGTGATTTTGGCATGGAGGTCAATATGTGTCCTTGGACCCCGCGTCACTTGTTTTTTTTTTTTTGGTCCGCGGGGAAAATGTAGCGTCAACGCCGTCTGCTTGGTTTGCGAAGAATGAAACAAAATGGAAATAGGGAAAAAATATTATCAAAGGAGCCGTATGGCTGATCAACCTGGTATTGCGACCAACATTATTAAGATTCGCGATGAAAGAATACAAAAGCGAAGCGAAAGTTGAAAGAACCTGGTGCCTGGGGCTTGCAGATGGCATGTGATGCTGACTAACAACCCCTCAGCCCTGACCAGGTGGAGGGACAAAGAGCACTTGATATGTACATAGTTATATATATTAGAACATATGAACATATGGCATCCTATAGGAAGTAATGGGCTGGATTTAAGTAAATCAAGTTGGCAGCTAGAATACCTGATTTGATCAATACTTTCAACCAAAAGCTTAAATGAGTAGTTCTTTAGTTCTTTCCGGTATAGATGTATAGATCAATGCTTCCAAGCTTTAATCTAATGATTTGGCGTCATAGGAAATTGCATATACCTTTATAACAGTAATTTACATAATGGCAGGCCTGAATTTAACAAGTTTGTCAGATATTAAAAGTTGCAAAAGATCTAGATTGACACCTCCTATTCCGTCGGATCGGGTCCGACGGAAGATGTTGAACTTGAGCTTCCACTTTGGTGGGTTAAATACAAAGGCAGCTTGACTTTTGTTTCGGATTTGAATTATTTTTTCCTCCCAATTTCCCTCAGTCGCTTGGTTCCTGTGGATTTCGTCTTTTGGCTATGGAGCACAATCATCGCCCCCGGTCAATGTCGAACGTGGAGAAGTATGATATCAATCGAACGAAGATACCCACACAACATGAAGATGACGAGATGTTGACACGACTAGAGACGTCTCAGTCTCAAATTGAACCGCCGAAATCACTCTTCCAGGAGACCATCTTCGTCAGTGTGGTGTGTATGGCACAGTTCATGACTCAAGCTGGTCTCAGCATTTCCATCGCTCCAGTCCGTATCATCGGCGATAGCTTCGGTACCAGCAATCCTGCCAATCTAAGCTGGTTTGCAGCCGCCTACAGCTTAACGGTTGGCACCTTTATTCTTGTTGCTGGCCGACTAGGCGATGTCTTTGGTCATCGAAACATGTTTGTGATCGGTTTCTGTTGGTTCAGCGTCTGGTCCGTGTTGGCTGGGTTCAGTGTTTGGTCGAATCAGATATTCTTCGATTGCTGCCGTGCGCTTCAGGGGATTGGTCCCGCTCTTTTACTCCCTAATGCAATTGCAATTCTTGGAAGAACATATCGGCCGGGTCTACGAAAGGAAATGATATTCAGTTTGTTTGGGGCTACGGCGCCTGGAGGATTTATTGTGGGAGGTGTTTTCTCTTCTATCTTTGCCCAGCTTGTTTGGTGGCCATGGGGATACTGGGTGATGGGGATAACCTGTGCAATACTGGCTTTGGTAGGATGGCTTGTCATCCCCTACAGCCCCCAACCCAAGTTCGACGACAAGCTTCATCTTTGGCAGCGCCTTGATCTAATTGGTGCCACTGTGGGGATTTCAGGCCTGGTACTGATCAACTTTTCTTGGAACCAGGCCGCGCTTGTGGGCTGGAAGAACCCTTACACCTATGTTCTTCTTATAGTGGGTTTTCTTTGCATCGGCGCCTTTGCATTGACCGAAAGCAGGACGGTATGTCCATTACTCCCGCGGTCAGTCTTTACTGGTGAATTGGCCTGGGTGCTTGGGTGTATCGCAGCCGGCTGGTCGAGTTTTGGGATTATCATCTACTACTTCTATCAATTCATGGAAGTGATCAAAGGTGACTCTCCATTGTTGGCCACGGCCAAATGGTCGGCGGCTGCTGCTTCTGGTGCCGTGGCAGCTTTAGTCACGGGATTCCTACTTGGTCGCCTGCCACCTAGCGTTATCATGTTTTGTGCAATGGTATTTTTCACGGCTGGCCTCTCTATCTTTGCCACTGTACCTGTCGATCAAACATACTGGGCACAGGCGTTTGTGGTGAGCATAATTACCTCCTGGGGCATGTAAGTCTTTCGATCCTTTCGTGTTGGGTTTGGTATTCAGCGTCGTTAACTCATTCGCCCCTAGGGATATGTCTTTCCCATCTGGGACCTTGATATTGAGCAATTCCATGCCTCGTCACCACCAAGGACTGGCTGCTTCTCTCGTTGCTACGACAGTGAACTATTCTATCTCCCTTGGCCTAGGATTTGCGGGCACGGTGGAAACGCACGTTAACGATGTAGGACGCAATATTCTACGGGGTTACCGTGGTGCGCTGTACATGGGCATTGGACTGGCATCATTGGGTTTAGTGCTGTCAATTTGTTTCATGTTTACGAGCTGGAGGAAATATCGCAGTAACGAGAAGAGTTGTAGATAGATGATGATGTGGGACAACGGAACTTTTAAAAGATACCGACTAGAAATTTTTAATTATTACACTATTAAATACCTGCATTTTGTTTCTCTAATTAGGTTACTCATCTCTTCTTCATAGGAAGATGCAAGCGGAAGATTTCCATGAACTGGCATGTCAATCAAGGGATATGAGAGGTGGCAGGTGGAATGCAGATGTCACAAAGCATGGGAAAGACATGCTTCACACATTCCATTGACGTCAGATCTCTCTGGCTGCAGGCGTCAAAAGATAGGAAGGTAATTTATAGACAATTAAGCTTGTTTTCCAACCTTCTATAATCAGTGCCAGGCTTTTACTTCACTCTCTCCCCATCACCACGATTCTCTGACATATCACTTTCATTTGGGTTCGCTCACTGATACTGAAACTGAAAGTTAATCACAATATTGACATTCTGATTGACGTTCTAATTGAATTAATTGAAGGCAATTCACCTTCTGCGTGCTCTTTGATCGATTGATTGATCTTCAGTTCAGTCGAGTTGACAAGCTTGAATTTGGATTCCAAACCCTGATAATCCTCTCATCAATCATGCGTCTGCAATTTATTTGTACGCTTTTTATGGGAACCGTGATTGCCATTCCCTATGGTCAAGAAGTAAGTCTCTGACTCTCTGGTGTTTTAAGTCTTTAAGGTTATATTCATGTTGATCTTGCTGACTCTTATCCTGAAGTATCAAAAGGTATGCCTAGTATTCTCAATATTTGTCTCCACTATAGTCTAACATGTCTTTTAGGATGCACAACAGTCTACAACTTTGACCATGCCCGCATCTACACCAATAAAAAGGGTGACTACAACTGCCCGTATACCTCCATCTCCGCCATTAGATGCCCAAAAGAGAATGCTACCGTATGAATATGAATTCCTTTCAACCATGTTGAGAATATAAGCTCACGTTTGAAACAGATTTTGAATGGCAGGCTGGTATAGACCTCTGGTGTTGGTCGATCCTCGATAACACGGGACTTTATTTCCGACACACCAAAAAAAAGAAAAGTAGGCAAAAAGAGACAACTCAGCTGAAACCAACTCGAGGGACAACATATGTATCCCATGGATGTCTACATATTCAAGAACTCCAGGACTATAACAACTATTACAACTCGGCAATGGCTTTTACCCCAAATGGACATAGCCGGGCCGGAATGAGTAGCCGACCGGGGCCGACTTCGGGGCCGTTTGCCGTTATCTGATCTTCTATACTTTATTAGCCTCCATCTTTCTTGTTCCTTTTTCTTTTCAATCCCTGCTTTTTTTTAATTTCATATCCTAAGCTAGAACGGTAATCAAGATGGCAAACAACAACATCCCCCACTCAACTCTGTGTGTCACCACGACCGACTTCGAGAAGGTCGCAAAGGATGTCCTACCAGAGAAGTCATGGGTGTATGCATCAAGCTCAGCTGCTACGGGCCTGTCAATGAGGGCCAATCTCGATGACTGGTCTCTGATAAATTTTCGCCCTCGTATCTTGAGGAGTGTGGATTCAATGGACACTCGAAGGAACATCTTGGGACATACCTCCCAGTTCCCCTTCTTCGTATCGGCTATGGGTACACTGGGCAGCTCACACCCTGGTGCTGAACCCTTGCTGGTGAGAGGAGCGGCCCGCAAAGGCATGCACACCATGATCAGTACAGCATCTACGAAGCCCCTTGAGGAGATCATGGATGCTCATCTGGACGAGCAACGGCGACTTAACAATCAAAGCCCTTCGAACTTGTCATTCCAGCTTTACGTGCCTGTGGATCGGACAAGAGCCAAGTCACTCATTCAAAGGGTCAAGGCTGCCGGATACCAAAGCCTGTGGGTTACAGTGGACACTTCAACGCTAGGAAAGCGTACTGCCGATCGTTATCTCCAAGCACAAGAAAACCTCGACGCTGGTTTAGCCGGAGATTCCAGAGAAATTCACAACGAGAACGACTATGCGCCAGCGTTCGGGGGTCGCCAGGTTCCCGGTTCGGTAGATGGTGGTCTTACCTGGGAGGATTTGGACTGGATTTCATCGGAGTGGGGTGGACCATTGGTTCTCAAGGGCATCCAAAGCGTAGAGGATGTGAAGCTGGCTGTCCAACATGGTGTGCAGGGAGTTCTGTTGAGTAACCACGGAGGCAGGCAGATTCATTCTGCCCCAAGCTCATTGATGACACTCCTGGAGATTCGCACATACTACCCAGAGGCCTTCGACAAGCTCCAGGTGTTTGTTGACGGAGGTCTTCGCGACGGAGCAGATGTCCTCAAGGCGTTGTGTCTCGGAGCGACAGCGGTTGGAGTGGGCCGCCCTTACTACTATGCCCTCGCGGCATACGGTGCTGAAGGAGTAGAAAGATGCACAGACAGTAAGTCGGGACTAGTATTCAAGTCAATTCCAATTCCAAGCTAACATATTTGCAGTCATCGCCGAAGAACTTGAAATCACCATGAAGATGCTTGGTGTCTCTTCCCTAGACCAACTTTCGCCAGATATGGTAAATACCAGCCGACTATCGAACGAAATGTGGCGACCAGTGTTTGGAAAGTCGAAGTTGTGAAAAAAAAAAGGAAGTCTGTCGATTAATTCATGAGGCCAAAGAGGACCATTGTACTATCTCTCCCTATGTATTTAATTGAGATTGGTATACTAGAAATGTCATGCTCGCTATACAACCCACTCATAAAGCACCCCAGCCACCACCGCCGGGAGTGTTGATCACAACCCGGTCATGTGTCTTCATTGAGACAGTGTTTTTACCGCCGATGTTGACACGGCGCTCTTTGCCAGTGTCCGGATCCCGTGTGATCCACAGGTTGAATCCAGTCTGTGCGTCCTGGCCACCTTCGAGTCCGTAAGGTCGATGGACACGGCGCTCAGAAAGAATCGAACATTGAATTGGTGAAAGGAATTCGATGTCACGAATCACTCCCTCGCCACCAGGGTTCTTGCCCTGGCCGCCAGAGCCCTCGCGAAGGGTGAACTGGCGGAGCATCGTCGGATAGCGCTTTTCCAGGATTTCAGGATCGGTGATCCGCGTGTTGGTCATGTGAACATGTATACCAGACTCGCCCTTCCAAGTGGGACCAGCACCACTTCCACCAGCGATAGTCTCATAATATCCAAATCCAGGCTTGATCACAGCACCGGTCGACGGATCAAGCTGGGCATCTGTGCCGAAGGTCAGGTTGTTACAGCAGCCCTGAGACGCGGCACAAGCCTGGAAGGCTTTGAACACGACGTCAGTGATGCGCTGTGAGGTCACAACATTACCGCCAACAACAGCAGCAGTCTTGCTTGGCGACAAAATGCTGGAGGAAGGGACGCGAATGTCAATTGGCGCTAGACATCCCTGGTTCAGTGGCACATCTGCATTAATCATGCAGCGCAGACAGTAGATGATGGCTGAGTGAGTAATAGCAATGGGGGCGTTCCAGCTTCCATACACCTCAGGGCCTGTGCCCTCGAAATCAAAGACAGCGGATCCATCGGTACCATCGATGGTGACCTTCAATCGAATGGGAGTTCCATCATCCATGTAATCGACCGACTCCAATGGCTGGCCATTGAACTTCTTATATAGCTCCTTAAGAAGATTGCGCACAGCAGACTCGGCGGTTGCCTGGATGGCGTACATGTACTTTTGCACGGTCTTGGTTCCATATTCGTTGAACAGAGCCTGGATCAAGCTGATTCCGCGAGTGTTGGCGGCAATCTGTGCCTTCAGATCGGACAAGTTGTCGCTGAGGCAGCGTGCCCCAGCACAGCCGGGGTATTGCGAGGGCTTCGTTACCAGCAACTCGATCAAACGTGCCTCATCCAAAACACCATCACTGACAATCTTATCACCTTCGATGGCGGCGCCTTCTTGCCACAACTCGGTGGATTTAGGAGGCATTGACCCAGGTAAGATACCACCAATATCAGCGTGATGACCACGAGAAGCCACGTAAAACATGATCTCGGAGCCACCAGGTCGGTCAAAGACCGGTGTAATGACCTACGAACATATTAGTATTTGATGAGAGCATTCAAATTTGAAGGTCACTTACTGTAATATCGGGCAGATGGGTGCCTCCGCAGCTGGGGTGATTGGCCACCAGAACATCACCATCCTTCAAGTTGCCTAGCCACTTCTCATGCTGATAACGGACAGCAAATTGCATCGATCCAAGATGAACCGGAACATGGGGTGCATTGGCCACCAAGCCTCCATCGGGGGAGAATAGAGCGCAAGAGAAATCCAGCCGTTCCTTGATGTTGGTTGAAACGGAAGTCTTCTGTAGCGTACGGCCCATCTGCTCAGCGATGGACATGAAGCGATGTCCAAAGATAGTAAGTCTGATAGGGTCAATTTCCGATGACAGGGCGCTTCCGGAAGAAGTTGGTTCGTCATTGAGATCGATGACAATGCAGGTGTCGAGCAGGTTCGCCACTGCGTTGGGAGCCACGACAATTGTTTGAGTTTGATCAATGATGACAGCCGGGCCATAAATGCGGGAATTTTTCTCCAATTCGCCTAGAAGGTAAACTGGTGTGTCAATCCGGCTCGACTGACCGAAGTAGGCTGAAGTAGTGTTGTTTGGAGCCGTCGCAACATCCCGCATATTGGCTTCCTTCAGTTGAACCAAAGGACTTTGCTCGGTCCGAACCTTGGACGAAGCGATAGTTCGCACTCGGACGTCATCAACAAGAACAGGTCGGTCCGAGTTGAAGTTGAATTCGCGACGATGGCGAATACGGAATTCCTCCAGGAAATCTGCGGAGTTCTCGGGCTTCAGGATCATCAGACTGGTGTCGGAACCTTCGTAGCGCATGTTCAAGTATTGCTCGTGGCGCACTTGAGTGGAAGGGAAGCCTTGGGATTCCATATCTTTGGTTGCTGATGCTGCTAAGTCATCGAGGTGTTGAACAAGAGCAGATTGTGAAGATAGATAGGTGGATGAAACAGGCTCCTGAGACTCCTTGACAACCTCTGCTAAAGCAAGACCGTACGCTGACAGAACGGAAGAATACTTGTGAATGATGATGCGGGAGATTCCGAGTGTTTTGGCCACTGAGCATGCATGCTGGCCACCAGCACCTCCAAAGCATGCCAAATGGTGAGATGCGGTCTCAAAGCCACGAGCTTCTGTGAGGTTACGGATTGGTCGTGACATAGACTCATCTGCGACATTAAGGAAACCAAGGGCAACCTCCTCTGGGGAAAACTCGGACTGGCCTTGCTGTCGGCGTTCAATGTTGACTTTTTGTGTGTAAGCTCATTAAACAGACGTGCAGTCGTCTCTGTGTCCAGAGCTTCGTTCTCATTCGGGCCGAAAATCTTCGGGAAGTACTCCGGTAGAAGACGGCCTAGGAACAAATTGGCGTCTGTCACGGTGAGAGGGCCTCCCTTTCGGTAGCATGCTGGGCCAGGATGAGCACTTGCAGACTCAGGCCCGACATAGAACAAGCCATTGCGCCAGGTGAGAATGGAGCCACCACCAGCAGCAACAGTGTTGATATCAAGCTGAGGGGACTGGATCATCACGCCTGCAACCTTGGATGCAAATACATGTTCAAGGTGACCATCAAATCTAGAGACATCTGTGCTAGTACCACCCATGTCGAAACCAATGACGGGTGTCTTCTCAGTGGGATCCCAGCTGGTGGCTGCAAAGCCGACCACACCAGCGGCGGGGCCGGACAAAATCGCTTTTAGCCCGCTAAATTTGCGGAAATCGACCAGTCCACCATCTGATTGCATAAACTCGAATCGGCAGTCTTGCTGACTCTCTAGTCCACCTTCAAAGCTAGAAGATATAGAGTCGATGTATGTCTTGATAACGGGTGTAAGGTAGGCATCGGCGGCGGCCGACATGCCACGAGGTACGATCTTGATCATAGGTTGAAGTTTTGAAGAGAGGGTAACCGAGAATCCCATCTCTTGAGCGAGCTCGCCGATTTGACGCTCATGCTCGGGATATGCGTAGGAATGCAATAGCGCCACAGAGATCGACAAAACCCCTTGTTCCTTCAGTCGTTGGAGCTCTGTCTTCACCTGAACGAGGTCTAGTTCTTGCACAACACGGAATTTCTCGCCTGTAATTCCCTCTACTATCCGGCAATCGGAAAAGCAATCGCTATCAGCAGAAGGATGACAGGACAGTACACGTTCGTTGACTTCGACAACACTTTCCGGAAGTACTCCGGGGCGAGCCATTGATAGATCAAAAATGGCCGGGCGAGATTGGTCGCCAATTTTCAATAGATCCCGAAACCCTTTGGTTGTGAAGAGTACTGAACGAGCGCCCTTGCGCTCGAGTAAAGCATTAGTTGCAACGGTTGTGCCCATGCGTAGACAACCAATGCGGTCGAGTTTCAATGGTTGGCCTCGAGGATGTGGCTCCCCGGTGGCTAATTCTAAAATCTGACGAATGCCCTCAGTCGGGGCATCTTGATAGTGAGAAGGATCGACGGAGAGAAGCTTTAAGATAATGTCGGGGCGACCAGGTTGGATCGCGTGGACATCAGTAAATGTGCCGCCACGATCGATAGAGATTGTGATCTTCCCTGAGTCAGACATTGTGACTTGGTGTGAGTTAGGGGAAGATGTAAGGTTGGATCAAGAAATGAAAAGGGAAGAACAACAGATAAAGATGATCCGAAGGGGACCGTAATCATTTATGTTACAGAGCTCGTCCCGATATCTCAGCACATCTCCCATCATCTCCAGTCATCATCGCGCTGTTACCCATTAGATGCATGTCACGTGTCGGGCCGATGGCTCCCGTTTCGGCTTCCTCGGACCGACACCCCCACAGCTTGATAAGCTGCGGGGTTTTAGATTAAGGATGGAGGGGAAGATAGGGGGCTCATATAGATATGGTCTAAGAACGATAAGAATACGGAGTACAATATGTACAAAGTAATGATAGCATTTTGTGGAGAAAATGCATCCTGATGCATGTGACAGTCTCAGGCATCAATTATATGTAGCATAATCTTGGATATAAACACAAGGTACTAACTTGGGAAGCATTCAACATTACACAACACAACTATAGCATGATTTTTTTTTAAGTGATTTATATTGTGCTCTTATCGCTTTAAAGTATTCTCGATCCAGTCAGTGTCCATATCAATGTCGATTTGATCCAAGGCCCCTTCCCAGAGTGCTGGATCATCGTTTAGATCGAACTGAAAGGCAATATCCCGGAAAGAAGGGAGATCCGGTTGCTGTGGCCAATCATGACTAAGCACTTGTGAAGCTGCTAATTCTGTACTCGGATCTGGAATATCGGTTGAAGGAATTCCACCGTTCTCAGTCATCGGCGTCACAGGGCCCTTTTGACCTGCAGTAAGAGAACTTGTCGTATCGCTATCCTTTTCTTCTGCAGATCTAGGTCCAATGGCCGCCCGTAATTCCAACAGTAGTGAGTGACGCGAGTCCAAATATGTATTTCCCCGATCTGCCATACCTCGAAGAAGGTTCAGTGCAGTCTCCATGGCCCGGGCGCTGGTTTCATTAGGCGGAAACGCGGCATTCACCATGACCAGTAGAAGTGCAGCGGAGAAGATATATTCACCGTCGAGGTATCCATATGTAGCTAAAAGGGTCGTTCAATTAGAGGATTTTATGACAGAAGAAACGGGGTTGTATTGCGATCGCGTACCAATGAGATTATGTTTGGCAGCTGCATCCATGATCACAGTTGTTGCTCGCGCGGCTGTGATGCAGCTGTCAATGACGGCGACAGTATTGGGAGCCAGCCCTTCTTTCCAATCTTCTGTTGCGGATCCAAGGGCTTCTGCATCAAGTCGCCGTTGGATGATATAAAAGACCAACGGGCGTGCAGTCATATTCACACATGAGTAGAAGTGCAAGTTGATTGAGACAGACTCTCGGTTGATGTGAGTATCGAGGGTAGTAAAATCGATGCGGAGCCGGTCTGGGACTTGTCGCAGCCAACCAGAAAGGTCATTGGTGATACTCTGGACAGAAGCAACGAGGTTGGATCCGGATCCAGGTTTCTTTCTGTAAATTTCTGATGCCGCCATCTAGGTTAGCTTGGCAATACGGCAAAAGAATAGGGAGGCTTTCTACCTTCCCCAATCCGCCCCAATATACGGGACAGTTGTGTATAATGGGTGAGCACAGTCGATGGCCACGGATCGAAGGTTGATCCACCCTAGGTAGAAGAAATCAAATCAGCTAAAGCTAATACCTAGACATACCATGGAGGGCAACATACCACAGTTGTGGGCCAAGTTATCCCAATGTCTTCATCGTGAATCGTAATAGGATTACCAGACTTGACCGAGAGTAGCCTATTCAGGAGTATGAGTGTTGGTTTCTGAAATTTAAGGAAATTGGCCAAATTACCGGTCCAAGCTGTAAACAGACCACCAAGCCCGACGTCGACGGTTGCGGTCGGATTCACTTATTGCGGGGTCAGACACCTCTTGATGTAGGCCTAGGGAGATAGCCATGCGCAGAGCAAGGCCGATCTGGCGTTGTTAGCGGTACAGCGGAAGGCTAATCAAAGTAACACATACGTAGAGGAAGGCAGCGTCCCGTCTGTTCAGATTCTGCATATAGTATGCCACATAGCATAGCACCTCGACGAAGAGAATGGAGCCCTCTTCGTGAATATCTGGCAAGAAACGTAACGCATGCTTGAAATACTTGAAGCCGGGAGGACCTTCCTCGCCAATCCATTGGTTTACACTGTACATCAAGCCAAAGGAAATAACCAACAGTGTCTGGCAGTATACCAGGCAAGATTCACGATGTGAAAAATCAAGTGGTTGGTGATAGACTAGATCGAGCCGTTCTTCAAACTCCAAGGGTTGGATGAGGGAGAAGATTGTACCGATGTAAGCGTATTGTACCCAGAAGAGTCGCTTAGCAAACTCGAAAGGCGGCAATTGAGGTAATGAGCCACCAACTGGTCTTCTTAATGATGAAGGGTCATCGTAAAGTGGGCGCACATCCCATGCAAGGTTTTTGGACCCGGGATTGAGCCGTTTGGCGAGATGTGTGGTGGACGAGGCACCCACGAAATCTGAAGAAAAATTAGTAGAAAGATAATAGGAACGAGTTTTCTTTTAGTTTAACACGCACGATGTTCTCCAGACCGATTCAAGAACAGATTGTCCGTCCCTTTGTACCACCAGTCGTCGCGTTCGGGTGGCCCCTCATCAGAGTAGCGATTGGATACCGATGGCTCACTTGACGGTGTTGGATGACTACCTTCTATCCTAGGTGGTTAAATTGCGCCCAGATGATTGTTTGGATATGTATGTATGAAGCCTACCTCGGGACGCAGGAGCCTGCGATTGTAATTGACGATAGTAGCTGCAAAAGAGAGTCCAGTCAGCACTGACTCTTTTCGACGATCTTGGACTGACTTCACCTTTCCGTTATGGAGACTCGTTTTTCAGCCTCTGAATATACACAATGCTTGCCCACATCCACACAAGCTGCACAAGGGTGGGGTGGATTGCCGGCGCAGCGAGTTTTTCTAGACCGACAGCGGTTACAGGCTACCATCGACCTTCTTGAGCGATCTTCTGCCCGACGCGTGATGCCTGCATTTCCAAGGACCATTTCTTTTTTTAAGGCTAGATTTTAGAAGTGTTTAGATCTCTTTTAGATCTCTATACCTAGGTAGGTAGACTGATGAAACATAAGATGACACACAACTCAGAACGGGACGGAAAGCCCCGGAGTCTCCGCTTATCTTTTCGGCCCGACGTCCCCAAGGCCATATGTTGTACCTAAATGAGCCTACATGGGCCTACATGGTATGATATGGAAGGTAATTCCCTAGATTACTTGGTTTGGGTCATTATTCATGGATAGGTGTTTAAGTAAAAATGAAAAGGTGGATTTTGATATATATCTAGGGCTTGCACGCTTCTTTGAAAAGGCTCATTACCTATACACACCACCCCCACTTGCAATCTACGTAATCTTTAGAGAGCTACACCGTACAATGTGATTAAAAATGATAACGAGTAAAGACAAAAGATGAGAGACGAAAGAATGGATTAAAATATAGCCACGCCATTCGGGGGCTTGCAACCCCACCAGGAACCTGATGAATGTGGTCAGTTAGGTTTGGAATAGGAGCGGAATTTGTCCACACACACCTTCAATGGCACGCTACTAAAGAAAAAGGTCCAGCGGTCTCTCTTCCGACACTCCTGGCTGAGCTGCTCGAGATCGAATAATTCCCCGATTGGGACCCCCCAGCCCGCGAGCAACCACTCATGGAGAAAGAATAACTGATTCTGGCATGGGTATGCTTCAAAGCTCGGCATATCTCCTACCACAGCGGCAAGTTCAAGTTCCCAAATCCAGCGTAGCATGGCTTCGGATGATTCAACCCCAATCACTGGTGGTGCTGTATAAGCGGCCAGTTGCTGACATTGCGCCTGTGACAGCTGTTCGTAGGCTCGAGTCCAACCCGTGCGAATAAACAGGATATCTCCCGGTCGGAATGTGGTGTTCTGACTAACAGCTACCTCTTGAAGTACCGAAGCCGGGATTGACTGGGTTTCAAAGCAATTCACTACTTTCCCGTTCGCCGCTGCCCAACCTGCATAGTCCAAGAGAACGCCTCGTCCAACAATCCCGCCATTTTCGACCCATACTGAGAGAGGATCAGTGAAAATTGGAATCTTCAAAAGCAGAGGGAATTACCGTGAATGCCGTTTCGAGTGGAATTCTCGATATCCTCCTGGGTACACCCATTGAAGTAAGTTCCTTGTTTTGATCCATAATGCCTGAAGCCATCCCATTGGCTACTACTCTGAGTATTAAAAACCAAGATATCATCGTTGACTGCTCGGGGAGCTTTGTTCTTGATAATGTGCTCAAAAGCAGATCGTCCAAAGCAGGGGGGTCGTCATGCTATTGAGAGCCCAATCCGTTGAGACACGCACGCCATCCACAATCTCGCGAGCAGCTGCGATGGTATTCTCCGGCGTTAATAGATTGAGCATGCCTGTCTGATCATGATCGCCAAACATCCCCCAAGCATTCCCAGGAGGTCCATCTTTGTGCAAAGGTAGGGCATCAAATGCAGGTCTCTGGGGCGACATTTGTTATGTAAAGATTGAGGAAATAGCTCTTTGGATCCATTTGAAAGCATTCGGAGAATATAAACCCCCTATGGATGTAAACTAGATTATTTTACCCCGCATATTGCTTCGGCATTGCTATATTAAATGACCTCGGACCAGAGCTGATAACCCGGTACCAAGTCATCTAATGTTACAACGGTGCATCTGTAGATGATGGGAGTTCCATACGGTTGGAACTAGAAGGGATTTAGTAAAATTAATAGTTGGCTTGTCAGTAACGTTCTTAGGGTATTTTTTGTTAAAGCTGCGCCAACAATGAAGTCTGAGTGTTGGGTGAGGAGGGAGAAAATGATGTTCACAGCAGAGAAAGGATCAATATTGAGTCAAAGCGACCTAAACAAAAAAAAAAAAAAAAAAAAAAAGAGGCATTATATTGCATAAAAGAGGTGAGAAACTTAGGGTCTTAGATGTGTGGGAAAATACATTTCGCATATTATATTCCCATTGGGAATTTGAAAATTGACGACCTCAAATCTAAAAATAAATGATAGACACGAATGATAGACATTAAGGCAGCTGTATTTATATGTACTATACTCCGTAGGTATACTCCAATGTAACCGAAATACTAACTAGAATGTACTCCGAATGTATGGACATAAATAAGTTGTGTACACGTATATCTTGGAGCACGTGATCCGTAGAACGTATGACACAGAAACACACATTCGGCATTTCTCTCTGTTGCTGTGGTAGCGTTGTTCTTCTCTTTTTTTTTAGTTTGACTCCCCACATACCCAATTTATAATGGCTGGATATGTGGACCCCTCTTGAGCCAGTCGCAGATTCCGAATTCAGCCCCCCCTAGAAGACGCGGCCGATCGTTGCCTGACGCCTTGTCGTCATCCCCCGGCAATCGCCACCCCCAGCCGCCACGCTGCGATGGCTTGGCAGAGAGGCCTTTGCAGGTCCTTGTGAGGCATGAAATACTCGGTACGGCGAATTCAAGATCCTCAGGGGTTGTTTCGGATGATAGAAAGGATATGTATCTATTAATTGGAGGAGCCTGTGATGGGTCATGGGGGAGATCTATTGACCAATGTTATGGTGCATTGCGTCGTCGACCCGCAGATTTTTACATGTTCGACGAGTTATGTTGGTCGCAGCAAGGCTCGGATCACAGAGTCCAAAAAAAAAAATTCATACCCGTGCGGAGTATGGAGTATAGGAGTAAGTATACCGTGGATATCGAGATAAATCATGATCACAGGGGAATATCATTCGGTGGTTGGGGGGATCCATCTTGCAGCCCCCAATGGTTATGCGTATGCATACGCAGGGGAAAAGTGGTTGGCAATACCTCGTACACAAAGTATGGCCCTGTCTTGGACGGCTGGTGGATCCCAGAAAGGGTGTGGATGACGAACAACAATTGCTGATGTGCTGGGGTTCCACCCTTCGCCCTTTCACAGCCCGCATCGCTACCTCCAATCAAATTCTGCAACCAAAAATATCTCCTGGCATCCTGGCATCTGGATTCTCCTATGTACTTTGTACTTTCTTCTTTGAACCCTCCACTCTCTTTTAGATCTGTCTTACAGGTTTGATCTCTAGGGCATTGCTGCCAACCTACCTTGCGAGATCATTGTTGTGCTGTTGTACTGTTGCTATTGAGGCTACTGAGGTTATTGAGGCTATTGTACCTGGGATTGCAACTCTCGAACCTTGATCTTTGCTGTTGATTCTGGAGATACCATCCCACCACACTAGACCTCTATTTCCATTCCACCAGAGCCGGAGAACAAGGGAACCATCCACCATGTCTTTCCCTCCGAGAGGCACGTCGCCTCATTCACCCCATTCAGGCAACTCATCCCATTCACCACAGGCGAGCGAGGCTAGCATGTATGGTCCACGAGAGGTGAGTGACAAGCAGCCCAGAACAAAAAAAAAAAAAAAAAAAACAAAACAGAGGAGAGCCATCAAATCAACATTAGATGCTAATACAGTTTGTTCAGCAGCAAGCATATGGCTACGAGGACAAACCCGAGAACATCGACAGCCAACAGTCTTTGCTATACCGAAACCAACCTAGCCCGTTCAACGCTTCCTTCGATGACCCATATGCCTCGACCGATTCCCTCCGTCGTTACACACTACACGACCCCGGAGTTACCGTTTTCCCCGATGGTCCATACCAGGAGTCCGTGGGGGGAGTCAACCGTCGCTCGGGTATTCAATCACCCATGTCCGAGACTCCCTCAGAAGCCTGGCAGAACAGACAAGCACCTGGGTCAGGCCTGCGGCGATATGCTACGCGAAAGATTAAGCTGGTTCAGGGCTCCGTCCTCAGTGTCGACTACCCGGTCCCCAGTGCGATTCAGAACGCGATTCAGAAGGAGTACCGGGAATCGGAGGAGGGTTTCCCGGAAGAATTCACCCATCTGCGTTGTAGGTCTTCACATCAAATATTCGGCATGCGACTGGAGCTAATCGCATATAGACACTGCGGCCACCTGTGATCCCGACGAGTTCACCCTACGCAACGGATACAATCTGCGACCGGCTATGTACAACCGGCATACTGAGCTTCTGATTGCCATCACCTATTACAACGAAGATAAAGTTTTGACCGCGCGGACGCTCCACGGTGTCATGCAGAACATTCGGGATATCGTCAATTTGAAAAAATCAGAATTCTGGAACAAGGGTGGCCCGGCCTGGCAAAAGATTGTGTGCTCCTTAGTTTTCGATGGTATCGATCCTTGCGACAAAAATACCCTTGATTTGTTGGCCACGGTTGGTATCTACCAAGATGGCATCATGAAGCGCTCCGTCGATGGCCGGGAAACCGTCGCACATATCGTGAGTCCCTACAGTCCTCTCAATTCGCCTAGACCGAATTTACCTTCCTTTTATCCCGAGGTTTTGATAGTCGACAAAAATCCACTAACAAGACCTAGTTTGAATACACTACCCAACTCTCCGTTACCTCCAATCAACAATTGATCCGGCCTCAAGGCAACGAATCGTCTAACCTTCCCCCTGTTCAAATGATTTTCTGCCTGAAACAGAAGAACAGTAAAAAGATCAATTCCCACCGCTGGCTTTTCAACGGTTTCAGTCGAATTCTTAACCCCGAAGTGGTGATTCTAATCGATGCCGGAACCAAACCGGGAAAGAAATCACTCCTTGCATTGTGGGAGTCTTTCTACAATGATAAGAACTTGGGTGGATCTTGCGGTGAGATTCACGCAATGTTGGGAAAAGGATGGAAGAATTTGATGAATCCCCTCGTCGCCGCCCAGAATTTCGAGTACAAGATATCGAACATTCTTGACAAACCGCTAGAGAGTGCCTTCGGGTACGTTAGTGTGTTGCCGGGTGCCTTCTCTGCATACCGCTATCGCGCTATTATGGGTCGTCCCTTAGAGCAGTACTTCCACGGTGATCACACACTCTCTAAGCAGTTGGGCAAGAAGGGTATTGAGGGTATGAACATCTTTAAAAAGAACATGTTCCTTGCCGAGGACCGTATCTTATGTTTCGAGCTTGTGGCAAAGGCTGGATTCAAATGGCACCTGACCTACGTGAAGGCGTCCAAGGGTGAGACCGATGTTCCAGAGGGTGCTGCCGAGTTTATCAGTCAGCGACGTCGTTGGTTGAACGGTTCGTTCGCCGCCAGTTTATATGCAATGATGCATTTCGGGCGGATCTACAAGAGTGGCCACAACATCCTCCGGCTGTTTTTCCTACATATCCAGATGACATACAACTTCATGGGTCTTGTCATGACCTGGTTCTCTCTCGGTATGTCTCGAATCTCATGTTCTTTGGTGAATCTTTATACTAATTCATGACCACCTAGCCTCGTTCTGGCTGACTACTACTGTGATCATGGATCTTGTTGGAACTCCTAGTGATTCTAACAAGAACAGGGGATGGCCCTTTGGTAACGAAGCCTCGCCGATCGTGAATAACTTCCTAAAGTATGGATACATATTCTTCTTGATGCTGCAGTTCATTCTGGCGCTAGGAAATCGACCGAAAGGGTAAGTCAATCTCGGAAGGAATTACCTCACAATGTCAATCTGACCTTTTAAAACAGTTCGCGTCTCGCATACACGCTTTCGTTCATCTACTTCAGTATCCTTCAAACTTACATCATTGTTCTATCGTTCTACCTTGTCAAGAACGCCTTTAGTGGAGGTACCATTGATTTCTCTCTGGACCAAGGTGTTGGCCACTTCCTCTCGTCTTTCTTCAGTTCTGACGGGGCCGGCATTGTCCTGATCGCTTTGGTTTCAACTTACGGTATCTACTTCATCGCAAGTTTCTTGTACATGGATCCCTGGCATATGTTCACGTCCTCCTGGGCGTACTTTGCTGGCATGACCTGTTCGATCAATATCCTGATGGTCTACGCTTTCTGCAACTGGCATGACGTCTCCTGGGGTACCAAGGGTTCTGACAAGGGTGATTCGCTTCCCGTCGCTGAGACAAAGAAGGATGAGGCTAAGTCAAACTTCATTGAAGAAGTCGACAAGCCACAAGCCGATATTGATAGTCAGTTTGAATCGACGGTCAAGAGAGCGCTGGAGCCGTATGTCCAGCCTGAAGATAATGATGAACCAAGCATGGACGATGGTTATAAGGCTTTCCGAACCAACCTGGTATTGATTTGGATTTTCAGCAACCTGATCCTTGCACTATGTATCACCAGTGAAGGAATTACCCGTCTATGTCTCACGGTATGTATCTTGTCTAGCTCTAAGATGTGGCATCTACTAACACACATAGAACACTTCTACCGTCCGTACCTCTAAATACTTTGCCGCTATTCTGTGGACGACCGCCGGTCTGTCGATTTTCCGCTTTATTGGATCCCTCTGGTTCCTGGGCAAGTCTGGTATCTTGTGCTGTGTCTCTCGCCGTTAAACCCATTCTAGGCTTCGCCACTTGTAAATATTCGTCCTTTGGCTTGCGGTGGTATTTTCGGTTCTATTTCTTTTTTTTTTCCTTTTTTGTTTTTTCTTATGTTGGGGATTTTTGCTTTGATGTTTCATGCTCTGTATTCCCCATGTTTGCAGCCGCAATGGCATCTATGATTTTCTTTTGGGCATGTATATGTACTGGAAAAAGAGTGGATTTGTTTTTGTTTTTTGTTTGCATTTTTTGTCGGATTTCTTTTGCATCTACGATAGACACTAATTTATCGACTATTATGAGAATGATTTGAACTGTTACTATTTGCCTGTACTTTTGTCCTTCCCCCTCTTTCCTCTTCCCCCCTTCCCCGACTTGCCGCTCCCGCATATGCACCCCAGTTCCTCTACGATGTACATCCAATGTACATCAATGTATAACATACGCAGTATATCGTACATCGTGCATCGATCCGGTTCTCTGAAAAGTGGACTAGACACAACATTGAATCTTATCCTTCTCTCTGCTAAGCATTGCTGCAACTTTTCCACTTGTGTCCAGGCTGTCAGGGGCCATTGGACAAGACAGCTCAAACAAACCTCGGACCACAGGATTCCGAGGAAACCTCTGGTATAGGTCAAGGAAGCCAATGCCAATTGCCCAGGTGTTAGCCTGGTTCCCTCCCGCGTTGGTGTGCTATGGCTTCGTATTTTCTATCTGCACACCAGCGTCATTGGCTAACGCCTCCCCGCATCATCCAATTTTGGTTTCTTTTATGACTGGTCTTTCCCGCCAGCCCAGGTGCGTATGAAATCGCTCATTTGTTTATGCAAAAGCCCTTGATGGAGACAACATGGACGTGCGTCCTTGGCCCTCGGCTGAGTTACCATCGTTTCCGGGGCCGTGTCCAGATTCTGGGATTTCTAGGATACCACGGCCTGGGGATGGTGTTATCCAAACGGATCAGTTCCTTCCCCTCAACACCTGGGGCTTGATTGCGACTTTGCAAGGCGCTTTTATTGTGACCCCTGTGTCTGCACAAGGCAACCAACACATATAAAAGCGAGCTTATGGTCCGCAGTTAGCAGTTTCTTTACTTATCCACAAAACCCACTACTCTACCTAGCCCCACAATTATTTATCTCCATTGGTCTACCCCTAATGTCGCAGTATATCCCCAACATTTCCACTAGTTGCCTTGCTAAAAAGGTCGTTCTCATCACAGGTCTGTCGAACCCTTCTTCTAACTTCTCTGGAGTCATCTTATCTCATCTTATGTAGGTGGAGCCAATGGAATTGGTTCGAGCCTGGTGGCACAATGTTTGGAGAGTGGTGCCAATGTATGCATTGGTGACCTCGATAACGTCTCCGGCGAGCGTCTACTGAAGGAATGCTGTGATCAATTCCACCCGGAGGAAGAAGACATGGCCCCGCGCGCGATTTTCCAGACCACCGATGTCACCAATTACCTGTCGTTGTTGGCACTGTTTGATCTAGCCTTCAAGACCTACAAGCGTATTGATCATGTCGTCTCGGCAGCTGGTATCGTCGAAATAGGGAATTGGTTCGATACTTCACTTACGCTGGAGACCGTCCGCCAGGTAAGCTATTGCTAGCTAGATAATAATCCCAGTCGCTTGGCCAAGCTTCTCTTCGAGCTGTTCGGAAATCCCTGACACTATGATCTTACTTTCAGATCCCCACACACAAAGTTATGGATGTCAATCTCCTTGGGTCCATGTATGTTACCCGCATTGCCTCTGTCTACTTACGCCATAACCGTGGATCCAACTGCGACCGGTCGATTCTCCTATTCTCGTGTGTCTCTGGTTTCAAGGAGAGCCCGTCTCTTTTTTTATATCAAGCTTCCAAACACGGCGTCACTGGTCTCATGCGTTCCCTGCGCAACTACATCTCCTCTCCGTACAAACACTACCTCCGTATCAATACTGTCTGCCCATGGGTAACTCAAACAGATAGCATCAAGAAAGTGGAGGCACAGTGGAAGCGGGCCGAACTTCCTATCAATACCCCCGAGCAGGTTGCTACTGTTGCCACCGGTGTCTTAGCCGATCAGTCTCTCAACGGCACGTCAATGTTCATTGAAGGTGGGCGTGCTTGGGAAATTGAACAGAACATCAACCGGCTAGAGACCGAATGGTTGGGCGAAGCGCCATCCAAGGTGCTTGCTTTGGGCCAGGAGCTGCTCGATGATGGTTCTATCTGGACCGCACCGGAACGACCCAGGAAAAAGAGCACCATTTCTGTTGGAGTGCCACCAGGAGTACCTCTTGATAAAATCAATGGACTCACTAACGGGGTGAAACATGTCATCTCGAATGGAGTGACCCATGGGATGTCAAATGGCTTGACTAACGGGGTAACTAATGGACTGGCCAATGGTGTGCACTAAAAGCAACCGCTTTTATAGTTCATTGTTGATATCTATACAATGTGTGATACTTGATATATTAAACACGGGAGACATATGATAACTAGGGATGGGGTATCAAGAATAACAAGTGAAAACTGTACTTTCTCTATTCATACGAGAGTGGCTTGTGTCTTTAACAACGTAAAGCCAACGTAAAGCTTTTAACAGCCTAGTTCATGTAGCTCAAAATGATATCAAAGACATACTATGTAAGAATGCAATCTGAGGTCTTTTCTGCATGTTCTTTTGAAAATTTCTTTTGGGGGTTTGTGTTCTGCTCGATGGGCATAATACCATGGAGTAGACCTGTCGGGCTTATCCCTACATGTATGTAGTTAACTACAATATATACAATGTACCATATACCTTAACTATACAAAGAAATTTGCTATGCATAACTAGGGACACGTATAGTTCGAATCTGATCGTGCTTTTGTCTCAAGTTCGAAGACAAGATCATGAATTCTTGAAGTGCAATTATAATTAGTAGTCAACGCGATCTATGGTATATGGAACCCGACAAAAGAAAAAAAAAGTAAAAAGCAAAATGCGAAGCAATGCAACATTGGAAGACATGAAGCCCAAAAGACTGGACCTTTCCCCAGAGGTCTCCCCAAACGCCCATGTCCCCATGATCGATGGCTTGGATTATTTGAACGACTCCCTTGTATGAACGCGGTCGACGTTGTAAGGGTTGGCTTCATATGTGGGCACCCGATGAATGGGATGCGTGGCATTGGTGGAAGTGCGCGAAAGAGTATGGTGAATTGAATGAACATCGGCGGGCGTCTCCTTGCTAGGGAGCGATGCGACTGTATCGTCCGATGTGGGTGTGGATGTTTCAGGCTTAATCTCGGCAGACTCCTCGGCGGCTTTCTGCATGCCCCGAAGAAGATTTTGAACAAAGGCCTCGGACTGCGCAGAGTACTTGCAGTGCTTTCGGATGGACAGTCCATATTTGTAGAGCAGGAAAGGGAAAGGTACACATGCGAGAGCCAAGAAAGCCGGAACACAGGATGCCCAATGAATGCCCAAATCTTCGTACATGTATTTGGTGAACAGTGGGAATGCAAATCCGAACAACGACCGTAATAGCGTGTTAGCTGCCAAGACAGATGCCGCGAAAATAGTGTAAGCATCGATCAGGTAGTTGAAAACACTGAGGAAGACGAGTAACATTCCGAAGCCGAACGGAACTCCAGCGGCGATGCTTACAAGCCAGTGGACGGATGGAGAGTTGGTCCATGCGAACCAGAAGAGTCCTATGGGGAGGGCAACAGAGGCCAGCATACACGGTGGAAGGCGAGCTTCTGGAGGCGCGTAGCCACCATTCTTCTGGAGAAGCTTTGCGTAGCGCTTATTTTCAGGAATTGAGTACGCGACCGCACCAATCATACCAATCATAACCCCGATGAAAGCTAAACCGCCGACACCTTGATTCCATCCACGATGGAGCTGATATACAATCGGGAAGGCGCCGAACAGCATATAGAGGGTTCCGTAGATGATGGCAAGGTAGATCGATAGTAGTAGGACGATCGGTTCTTGAAAAAGAAGGATCATGGGCCGCGAGAGAGAGATTTTCAAGGCGGCTTTCAAAGTGAGACGCCCTTGGTCGATATCTAACTTGCTGACGTACACCTTACCGGTGAGCTTGGAGAGAGTGTTTGCACGCTGGCGAAGAAGAACGGGGGCATAGGTCTCAGGCTTCAACGCGGCTCCCAAAATCCACATCACAGCACAGAGGATGCCCAAGAGACCCATCACCCACTTCCAGCCTCCGCTCGACATACCGAGGAAACCACCGGCGATGGGCCCAATGACGGGTCCTAGGAATGGAGCCAAGGCGAAGGCCGATAGGGCCAGTCCTCGATCACGAGCCATGAACATGTCGGCGATAACACCACCCGAGTTGGTGAGGGGGAGGAGCCGAAAGCACCGGACAAGAACCGGAAGATCAGTAGGGTTGTGATGTTCTCTGCGCCTGTACATGCGGCACAAAAGATGGTCAGTCCGCAGTAGGTGGTGACGAAGACAAGTTGGCGACCGAAGATTTCACTCATGGGAGCCCAGATCAGGGGACCTAGGGCAAATCCCAGTACGTAGAGGGATACTCCCAAGGTGGCAACCTCGGTGGTTGCGCCAAATCGTTCCTGGATTTGAACGAGACCACCAGTATAGGCGGACGAGACCAGCGCAACGACCAAGGTCTCGATAGCGGCGACCACGGTGATGAACCATTTCATGGATGTCTTTAATTGGAGCGGGTTTCGAAAGTCCTTGGGCATCCATTCCACGGCATATGGATCTTCTTCGGTCCCTGAGCCGGCATAACGATGGTCAACGACCTCTTGGGTGATAGCACCGGGATTGAGGACGAGTCGCCAGAAGGGAATGGAATTTGGTAACTGCAAGGAGTTGGGAGTCTCAGAGACCTCCATTGTTGATACTCAGAGAATTACCCTCTAGAACTAGAGTAGGTAGATCTTAGGATCTGCAATGTATATGATCTGCGTGAGATTTGATATAAGGTACCTCCGTACAGAGTAAAATATGGCAAAAGTCCCCAAAAGAAAAAGAATTTTCCTTAAGGGATCGTAGGGTTAGTTTTATTCCATATGTAATAGCATTGGAACTCCGTTCATATCGGAGACACTGCTTGTTTTAGTTGTAGTGGGGGGGGACTCATAGAATAATAAGCTGCATATTTTACTCCATAACAAACCCATCACAACCTATAAGAAGCCATAAGAACCTCTAACCCTCGAGAAAAAATAGACCAAAGACCTTTCATTGGCTTTTGATATCTTCGAGATCCCGACTATCTCCACTTAGTGCCGGCCCGATCAGTAATCGATTTCTCGGCTGGGCCGATGTTTTGGAAGAGTTTTCGTTTCTTCTTTTAAGCCGAGGTTCATATTTGGTAGGGAGTATATTAGTACTCCGTATATTAATATATTAATATAGATTGATATTATGCATTAGGGCTATATCACCTTTATGCATCCTATACCTGTATATCTGTATAGTTATACTCTTAACATCTCTTATGTTTGGACCGAACAAAGTACCGTTGACGACATTGTAACCCGAGGTAACATCAAAATACTATGTGATGTGATATCTGAGTCCCAAATGCTCATTGGGCCGATTACCAACATATGTATGTACATATATACATACCTAGGTAGGTATGTCGGTATACTACCTATATAGCGCTGATCTATTAGTCTATTAGTCTATTGCCTAGGTAGTCGCTTTAAGAGAACACCTTAACTACCGTGGTAGTTATCAATGGATTAACCGTGGAGCTTACTTAAGAGATAGTAATGTTACAGTACAGGGAGTATGGTACTAGTAAGATAAAAGTAAAAAACTGGTTTGACTATGTAGGAAGAAGGTAATGTAATGTAACATCCGTTTCTCTTGAAGCCTAAGGCCAATCAAAATTGTCGGATTGGTCTGTATTGTAAATGTAGGGGTCCAATCAGTGGTATTCAACTCTCTGTATTTCTGTATCGGCTCTTGGTACAATTTATATGGAGCCATGATTACATAACATTAATTACAAAAATGTGTAGGATTAATAAATCCCCCGGTATGCCGGTCGTCATGCTCCGACACACCCCCTCAGCTATCCCAGTATGGGATTGCTGGACTTGTTAGATCGGCATATTGATCTCCATGGTTTAATTGACTAGGCCATTAGATAGCCTATGTCCACCATCCTGAGCATCCTTAGGAAGCTCTCATGCTTCTGGCGAGATAGCATCTTTGTGAGTCCATCTGCGACCATGCTCGCCGTCGGCACCCATCGCACCATTATGCGTCCTTCTCTAACCTCTTGCCGAAGCCAATGATGATGAATATCGACATGCCGAAGCTTCGTTTCGAAGGCAGTGTCCTCACTAGTAAGTAGGCTGATCGTTCTCTCGTTGTCGCAGTCGATCGTCATATTGTGGGAGGGTTCAAAACCGAGGCTTTTTAGTAGTCGACGCCACCATTGAAGTTGCTTCCCTGTCTCTGATAGGCCTAGCAGCTCTGCTTCAGTGGTTGACGTTGTCACGGTGGGTTGCTTGCTCGCTTTCCAGTCAACTGGTCCACCATAAGCTTGACAGATGTAGCCTGCAGAGCTCTTTCGATCTGGGTGATCTCCGTATGAAGCATCGCTTGCGAACTGTATGGAATCGATTCCAGTGCTTACTGCGTCTGCACTATATTCAATAGCTAGGTTCCGGGTAGTATATAGGTAACTGATGACCCGGTCAGCTGCTTGGTGGTGCTGGGGCCCTGGATTCGTCAAGAACTGAGCTAGTCGAGCGGTGGCCTTTGCAGCATCTGGCCTAGTGATAGTGGTGGCATAGCCTGCGGATCCAACCTTCTTTTGATAGAGAAGGATCTCCTTCGGGGTGGCTACGCCTTGGTAAGGCGTCAATTCGTCAACTGGTAGTGGCGTATAGACAGGTGGTCGATCTGTCAAATTGTAGCGGGTAGCAATGCTTGTCATATAGCTATCTTGACATAGCCAGAGCTTCTTCTGCTTCCTATCGCGAATGATTCGGATATTGAGAAACCATGATGCTTCTCCATGATCTGTCAGCTCCCAGTGGGCTTCTAGATCTCGCTCCAATTGCATGGCTCTTGCCTTAGCATTTGCATGGCTAGCAATTAAGATATCATCCACATAGAAGAAGACTATTAGCCCTTCTCCGACGAAGACACAAGGGTCTTCTGGTGCTTGTTGCAGACCTAGTTTTCGGAGTACACTAGCTGCTTCTTGTTGCCAAAGACGTGGCGAGATCCGTAAGCCGTACAATGCTCGACGAAGCTTCCAGCATTTACCTAGGGACTGGAACCCTTCTGGCATCTGCGTATACGTCGGTTTCTCTTGGCTTAGCTTGCTATTCAGAAATGCAGTGACAGCATCTCGCTGACGGAGGTCTAGGTCAAAGGCAGCGACTAGTGCAAAGATCATTCTTGCTGTTCTTGCTGCTAGCGTAGCAGCTCTCTTTTCTTCATAGGTAATCGTCTCAAGATCCCCACGAACACAGATTCGAGCCTTCAATTTCAAAAGGTAACCGTCCTGGTCGAATTTGTATGCAAAAACCCATAGTAAGGGAAGGATTTGTATCCCTCGATCCTTTGGCTTTTCAATGACTTCGAATGTCTCTTTTTCAGATAGAGAGTGGATCTCTTTCTTCATTGCTGCGAGAAAACCTTGCTGAAAAGGATGATTTATGACATCCTTCCAGTACTTGGGTGGTGGTGGGAGATCATCTCGATGGCGGCGAGCGTTTGGTTTCTCGGCGTATAGACCAGCTGCAAATGCATGTAGTAGAGCCGGTGGCTCTTCTTCGTCAATACCCTGTACTATAGTGGTTGCATATGCAAAATCGTCATCTTGTTTTGCTTTGCGTATTCGACGTCCACTTAGTATGTTGCTGGCATCTATATTGCTGGAGATCTCTCTGCTTGGTGCTAGCAGTTCTGCCTGGAGCTGTCTTTCTAGCTCATTTTCCACCTCTCTATTGGGTTCTTCATTAGGTTCTCCATTGGCTTCTTCATTGGCTTCTTCATAGGCTTCTTCATGGGCCTGATCTTCACTGAGCAGTTGATCATCTAGATCATGCGTATCCACCCCCTGATCAGGGCCAGTTTCCACCCCTTGCTGTAAGCCAGTTTCTTCATTTGGTGGGGTTAATGGTGATGGATCTTGATCCTTCTGTATGTCCTGGATCTCACCGGCTTCTTTTCTGACCGAGGTCAGAAGTATAGGTGGTAGGCTTATTGGGGTAGGCATTAATGCCTGCCTGCTCACCCCCTGAAGTGGGGTGATCTCTCGGTAGTCAACCTCACTTAGCTGAATATCTTGTGAAGTATCTGGTAGAGTATCTGGTAGAGCATCTGGAAGAGCATCTAGAAGAGCATCTGGTAGAGCATCTGGAAGAGCATCTGGTAGAGCATCGTCGGTTTCATCTTGTCGGTTTTGATGCTCACTTTCCGGCGTACTAGTTGCTTCCTGGCTAGCGATCTGATGGTTGATGATTTGCGCCACTTCGTCGGGCGTAATCTCTTCTGGCTCTCTCACTAATGGTAGTGGAATAGGCTGAGATTTCTCATAGTCCGGCGAGTATTTACGTGCTTCATCAATGACTGCATCTCGTATATACCTCACTTTCCCACTGTGTGGAAACCAGATTTTGTAGATATTAGATGCCAAGTATCCGACTAGGAAGCCGACCTCTGCTCTTGGATTCATCTTATCTGACTGGATCTGCCTCTCAATGCGGCAGTACGCCAAACTTCCATATAATCTAACATTTGCTAGATTGATCTTCGGGGCTGTTGGAGCAAATTCTCTTCTTACTTCTTCCCATGGTATTAACCACTTGTTCTCAGAAGCAATGTATGTAGGGGTACGGTTCAATAACCACACTGCAGCGCTTGCGAATTCAGGCCATAGGTCTTTCGGAAGCTTGCCTTCAAGAGAGAGCATACGCATACGGGTAATGATCATCCCGCCAGATCTCTCGGCATACCCATTCATCTCTGAGTGGCCGGGTGGAGTATGATATATCAAGATACCATCGCTTGTCAAACTGTGCTCCGCTGTTTTGCCTGCTGCGGCTTCATTGTCATAGTGAAATGCCTTGATCGGAAGGTTCCACTGATTCCTTGCTAGCTGTACAAACTGGTTGATCGCTATCTGGCATTCAGGCTTTAGCTCATGTGTCATGATCCAGTGGAATCTCGGCCCTTCTATATAGAAGTGAGATATCCATCGATGTCGATTGTATGCTGGCGGCAGTTGTATTAGATCAAAGTGGATTCTTCCAAATGGTCCAAAAGTACGTCCCACTGGCCGGCGAGAGATCTGCTTTGGTGCTCTCCCAATACGACATGTATGGCATAATGAAGCTTCTTCTTTCTCTGCTTTCTGGAGGACTATACCGTCTACCATAGTAGCAAGCTTAGCTACGGCGCGGGGCTCAATGTGAGCAAGTCGCCGATGCCAGATGTCAGCCGATGCCTTTGATTCCTGCGGCTTTACTGAGGATCTCTGTGTGGCATATGCTTGTTGTGGTGGTGGGGCCTCGTTTGGTTCGTCAAAAATCCATAGGTTAAATTGATCCCATAGATGCACATTGACTACAGGTAAATCCTTTGGATCTCGGATGCAGTTTGTACGTTGACACCAGGTGCCCCCCTTCTTCTTTAGCATCGCGTACGATACTAGATTTGTATGGAAGCTAGGCGAGTAGAGAGCGTCACTCAATGTGATTTCCATTCTCCCTTTCTGTGGATGCTTGCCGACTAGTCGAACTTTGCCTCTCCCTAGCACCTGCGTAGTACTGTCACCAGTTGTCAAATCTATGACTTCCGGCGTAAAATCAATAAACAGTGCTCTGTTATTGCATACATGTGAACTGGACCCAGTGTCAAGAATCCATCGATTGCGGAGAGAGAGCTCGCCAGTCTTTGCAGCTGAGAGTGCATGCTTGCCAATCTGTATAGCTTCACTTAGTAGCTTGCCTTGGTGCTTGCCCTGGGGCTTGCCCTGAGGCTTGCTCTGAGGCCTGCTCTGAGGCCTGCCCTGTTGCTTACTCTGGTAGGTGGTGGCGAAGCTAACGTGGTTTGCAGATTCATGATGCTTTGATTTAGCTTCATTGACAGCTTTGTCGACCCATTGCTTCCACCCTGGATCATTTGCTAGCTTCTTTCTAGCTCTCTCTAGCTTCCCTTCGTCTAGGGTATATCCTTCTGGGCGTATAGCTTCATTCATGAGCCAGCAGTTGGCCACCTTGTGGTGTGGATGACCATTGCCACATGGACATTTTCTCTTCTCGAATGGAAGCTTCTCTTGCTTCGCTTCCGGCTTTGCTTCTCGATGACCTTGCCAGGTTGAAAAAGCACTTTTTGGAGCATTAGTTGAGGTCACAGTTTTGACGCCTATCTCCCGATTCATTGCACGGAATGATTCAAGAAGATCTCGAGTGTCATATTTCTTCTTATCCATAACAATCTCTTGGTATTTTCCTTGCCACCAGATTGGCAGTACCTCTTTAACTGCATGTAGGAAGTCTCGATTGGAATCTGCATCGCTAATGCCGAGGCTAATAGCTTGCTCTCTTAGTGAATTCCACTTTTGAAGCCACTGCTCAATATCACCGGTTGGTTTCTGCATGGCAAAGACCTTCCAATTCATACGGATTTCTTCTTCGTACGCCGTTGACCGAGCAAATCTAGTCTTTAGGTATACAAGCCTCTCATACGGAGTACGATATGTGATCAGAGCAAGGTGATGCATTGGGTCGAGGTAGGTAAGGATGTACTCGTTGACATCACTTAGTCCTTTTGCTTGCTTCTCCCACTTCGTGTACTTCATTTTATACACGTCCATTCGATCTCGCCAAATCCTTCGATCCTTGTCATCGCCGTCCTCTGGGTATTCCGGTTCCACCGGTTCTTGGAGAGGTATAGATCTTATTGCTTGGGATTCGGTTGTCGTCGGGGGATCTGGGTTGCAAAGGTCCCATACGTTCTTTTGCATGGCATATAGCTGCACTTTTGCAAACCAAGTGAGCCACTGCGGCGAGTCCTTCAGTTTTTCGCCCTTCATGGCGGAGAGAATTGATGCTGCCTCCATTGCTGGATTCAGGGGTAGCTGGGAATAGCTTCACAATTGCTAATTCAGGGGTAGCTAGGAGGTTTCAAGGGGTAGAAAGCAGGCTTCTAGTAGTGTACTAGATACTATATCTCAAATAGTAATGCTTTCTTCGATGCGAACCGGGCTCATAACTGTCGGATTGGTCTGTATTGTAAATGTAGGGGTCCAATCAGTGGTATTCAACTCTCTGTATTTCTGTATCGGCTCTTGGTACAATTTATATGGAGCCATGATTACATAACATTAATTACAAAAATGTGTAGGATTAATAAATCCCCCGGTATGCCGGTCGTCATGCTCCGACAAAAATTGAGTCCCCCTGACACACTGCTAATACCAAATCTCTCTCATCATTATACTCTTCATCACAATAAATCATCCTCCAACAAAAAAAAGAAAGAAAAAAAAGAACGAATTATAAAAATTGAGGCTCACTTTCATTAACACATGTTTTAACTCAACTACAGGCTCTTCTCGATCTCAGCGACCTCAGCCATCACCTCTCGGACCGCAATTTTGGCCCCCTCGCCCACCGCCTCGTAAGGGTGTCGAGGGGCCAGGTTATCTGCGGCATCCGGGATCCCTGCCAACGGGGCGGAGTAACATGCTACTGCATGCTTAGTTGTCGCAATCCCACTCTTGATAGCACTTTCTGCGAGTGCCGCCTTCCTTTGGAGCTCCACAGCCTCGTTAATCTGGCCCTTCTGATACAACGCATAGATCCGAGCCGCCACTTTGGGAAAGACATTGGCAAAGGCGGCGATACATCCAACGCTACCTGCAGCAAGCCCGCCAATCAGGAAATCAGACTGCCCACCAAAGGTCGCAAACTCTTCGGGCTTGAATGCTGCAGCCAGCCGAGTGATCTTTCCCACCGATCCACAGGTCAACTTGACCCCGACCACGTTGGACCGTCCACTAGCGTGCACAGATGCCGACTCCCGTGTGATCGCGGTAATCGTCTCGGAGTCCATGTCCACCCCGTTGCACACCCCCGGGAAATTGTATATCACCACTGGTAGAGGCGACTTGGCTGCCACTTCGGAAAAGAACCGCTTTACCACGTTCATGTTGGTGGCTTTGCCGAAATATGCGGGAGGGAGGATGAGAAGGTAGTTGGCGCCGGCGGCAGCGGCATCCTGTGCGAGCTCGAGGGTCTGCTTGGTGGAGTGTGCACCGACACCGGCCATCAGTGGAAAATCAGGTCCAACGGCGGCTCGTGCAGTTGAGATGAGCTGAGATCGCTCTTCACGAGTGAGGAGGAAAGCTTCTGAGTTGGTCCCCAGGATCACTAGGCCCGCTAATCCGGTTTTGGACAGATAAGCAAAGTACTTGGACTGAGAGTCGAGATCTAACGAGTCGGTGTCATGGTGAAAAAAAGTGACCGCAGGGCACCAGACTCCCGATGAGGGGACATGAGGTTGAGGTGAAACGGTAGTGTGAGAACCCATTGTAGAGGTTGGGAGAGGTTATAGAAGTGTATGTCGAAGTATGTACAAATCTAGTAGTTTTAGGAGTTCTAGTAGTCCTAGCACTAACTCTTATAAGATATCCATATCGCATGAAATATTTCCCCTCTCGGGCCAAAATGAGGGGCAAAACGGCCATATCTCCGATTAATTTAAGCTATTTGGCCGCTGTTTCGACGATGGTACTGCCAATGTCGGGTGTCAGAACCGACGAAGCCAATCTCGTACATCGATCAACAACCTAAATGAGTCCACTCTCGGGCCCTCCGCCCGATCAGCGAATTAGAACTCTTTTTAGTTTGTTAGTCTAGTTGAATCGGGTTTGTTTGACTCGGCCCCATTTCCGAGATATATATATACATATGCATATACTATTCTAATCTCAGTTGTGCAAGTGCGGGGGTATTTAGCAACTCGGCCTGGAACCCGAGCATGATATCATTCAGTTTTCTTTAATACTATACAAGACCCCGAGATTAACCATGCAATCTCTCTGTCACTCCCTTAAATCAAACCGGTTTTTAACACCATGGTCTCTGAAACTGTCACCCGGAACGTTTCCACTGAGTCCTGGTTTGACCAGGCTCGTTTCATCCCACCCGATGCAATTTTTGCATTGACTGCTCAGTATATTGCAGACCAATCTCCCAAGAAAGTAAACTTGGGCCAGGGTACGTACCGCGATGAGCATGGGAACCCGTGGGTTCTCCCTTCGGTCAGGAATAGTCGGAAGTTGCTATCCCAAGAGTTGAATCACGAATATCTCCCTATTGCCGGTCTGGCAGATTTCCGTAAAGAGGCTGCAAAGTTAGCACTGGGCCCAGAGCTATTTCAAAAGCAACAGGACAAAGTACTGGCTACTCCATACCCATCACATCATTGAATTTTCTTTTTTAAAACAAAGCTGATTATTGTATAAATAGCTGGCGACTTGCCAAAGTCTTTCCGGTACGGGGGCACTACACCTGGCTGGACTGTTGTTACGAGCTTGCAAAACACGTCTTCCCAAAGTATATATCCCTGAGCCGACTTGGTCAAACCATCATCAGGTGTTTTCATCCCTTGGATTCCAATGCGAATCTTTTAGATACTACAACCCAGAGACCAAAGATCTGGACATTGATTCTTATTATTCTACATTGAAATTGGCCGAGCCCAATTCTGTGTTCATCATCCATGCATGTGCTCATAACCCAACAGGATGTGATCCGAGCAAGGAGCAATGGCGAGAACTTGCGCGCCTTTTTAAAGAAAGGCAGTTATTCCCACTTTTTGACGCCGCGTATCTAGGGTTCAACTCCGGCAATGTGGATATTGATGCTTTTGCCATTCGACTATTTATCGAGGAGACGAACCTGGAAGCTGGAGTGTGTCTGTCATTTGCGAAAAACATGGGTCTCTATGGTATCTGCCCCTGTTGCGGTCAGTTCATGGTCAGAATAATAGTCAATAACACATTTGATAGGGGAACGAGTTGGCTGCTTTTTACTAGTAACTAGCACCGAACAAGCGGCTGTAAAGACCCAGTCAATGCTTGAAATGCTTCAACGTTCTGAAGTTTCGAACCCTCCAGCCTATGGTGCTAAAATTGCGAGCACCATATTAGCCGACGCTACCCTTAGGGAGGCTTGGCATGATGATCTGATCACAATGAGCAGCCGCATTCGCTCCATGAGGTCGAAATTGTATGATAGCCTGAATTCCTCCGGTAAGTACCGCATGTTCGAGAATAGACGATTCAAGATCTTTTGTTTTTTAACATGACTAGGTGCACCTGGCTCATGGGAGCACCTCATCCGCCAGTCCGGAATGTTTGGATTTCTGGGACTGCCCCCAAGCGTCGTGCAAAGACTTCGCGGTTCGTTCTGTCGTTGCAGTTGCCATTTTAGTGAAATACTGACACATGGCGATCTCAGAGCAATATCACATCTACATGGCAGACAACTCTCGCATATCAATTGCTGGTCTCAACAAACAAAACGTGGATTACGTCGGAAAGTCAATCACTGAGTGCCTGAAACAAGAATACTAGTCGAGACCGGCTAGAGGATTGATGTGACAGTGAGGTTTTGGTGTTGAGTCAATTGCCCAGAGGGTTTACTGCAGGACCGAAAGTAGGAAAAAGCAGGACCGGTTACGTATGTTGCATGCATAGAATCAAGAGACACGAGATAGTAGAGGTTTATTCATGAAACCTTACTTTTGTAGCCCAGTTAATGAAATGGGGTTTAATCTTGGGCCTATCAGGGCGTTTACATGTATTTAGAGCGCCCTGGAAATGATGGATCATCCCTGGTGTTACGACACGACGGTATTGCCTGTGGAGTGATCGGGTGTCTAACTGAGTATCCAGCATGTTAGCAAGGTGAGGAGATACAAGCTATCCATGTCCGTCGTCAAATGTATGGTCTTTCAAAACAAGAGCGGAGGCTTAACCATCTACACCTGGGCAAGGAACAGAAGGACTTTGAAGATAGAGCTAGAAGAATTTTGAACTTTGGACCACTATTTATAAATATTAATGTCACTTTGCTACCCGTCTAATGACTGGATTATGTTATGTTAGGCGCCTAATACAATGGACGAAGGTTCTCGTGGGCTGACGACGATTGCGATTGTACGATCGTCAGATTACTGGCAGAGGTGACTGGACGAAGATCGCTACGGTCGGGAGAGGTCGCGTGCGAAACGCAGAACGAGCACGAACTTTTATATGACTATAATATTAAGTGGGAATACAGTACGGAGTACAACATACATATTGGGTGAACAGATTCCCAACAATTAATCACGCAGTGTGCCGTGTTTCAGCTTTGATCGTGCATATGGGTCAAGATGACCCGCAGCTTCCGTGTATGATCCTTTCACTTTTAGTATGTTTCTCCTAAAGGGGAAACTTCGTCTGCGGATACTAGCACTGATATAAGCAATGATCATGAAGTAGGCACAGAGTACGGAGTACGGAGACTGTATAACGTTTTTGATATGAAAGCCGGGTGAATTGAGTTTATTACGTATTGAGTAGAAAGGGAGGGGGAGGATCCCACAGATGAGTTACTCCGTCAAAACCGGGGAATTTCTCGCGATGATGAGGATGACCAGCCGCCTCTAGGCCCCATTATTGTATCCTCTTTCAGATTTCGGACATGACAACGAATCATGAAGTCAATAGTTGCGCTATTTTCCCTCGGCCGCTAAGCCAAATGGCGTTGGTGGCGCTCCGCATCTCCAGGTTTTGCATATACCCCAAGAGTGATCCTGGTCTCGGTGTTGGGGAATTGTGTCGCATGGTATGGAGTAGGGTATGAGAACAACCGGAGAAATTTTAAACTTTGTAGTTCGTATAATCTGTAAGGGTGTAAAGGGATAGATAATGTACTCCTTACGGAGTAGGTCTGATCTGATATCCTTTCTGTTTGCAGCTATCACGTGACCCCGCCAAAAAAATCTTATCGTCCGCCCAGCCGACAAGGTCCGACTTTCATTGGCAAGTCGGCTCTCGGGATCTTCTGTGGCGCCATTAGAGAAAAGAACCCTTGGAAACTTCTTCAGTCTCTATATTCTTTATTTTAGATAGAATTTCCTCTACTCATTTGTGAAGCCACTTTCTCTCTCCCCCGCAATCAATAACGCGGGGAGATAACTCCATAGTTGTGTCATTGTCAAAGCACATGGCCCTCCAATGCCCCTCCGGTGGCCCTCGAGTTACGCATTACACCAATGTTGCATTTCTTTTACCTAACGTTCCGAACCTTCTTATCGCACAATGGACACTAAAATGGGGCGTTGGTGGTGCGCTGGTGGTGCGCTTCGCCCTAAAACTCCACTGTCATTCCACTTCCACCCACTTTTACCTTGTTTCCGGTGATCTTGTTGGGTAGCCGATCAATGTAAAGTGGATCAGCGTCGTACTCCACGTGTTGGAGCAGCCAAGCAGATCTCACAAAATTTTGTTTGTCATGGAAATTCTGCTTTGCCTCCTGATAGTGCCCGCATTCGAAGTGTGAGAAATTTACCTTCTTATACACCTGCTTCCCTCCCTTCCGTTTCCGCCTGGCAGACTAGCCTCACCTCCCAACATCATCATCATGGGCCTCGAAAACATCTCTAACGACCATGATACCAACAAGGTGATGGGAACGGAAGGCGAGAAGGCCGCATATGCTCCCCCACCAGCGTTCGAGGGGGACATGGTCGGGGAAATGAGCGAGGCTGAGAGGAACATCTATGACCACGGCATCAAGAAGTTCAACCGTCTCGGCTGGAAGCGACTCACCATTGTCCTCATCGTCGAAGCCATTGCACTCGGCAGTTTGTCGATTCCCTCCACCTTTGCCACACTAGGCATGGTCCCCGGTGTGATTTGCTGTGTGGGCATCGGTTTTATCGCCATCTATACCAGTTATATTGTCGGAATGGTCAAATTGGCGTTCCCCGAGGTTGCAAACTATGCCGATGCCGGTCGGTTGCTGGGCCGTCGGTTAGGGTGTGGTCGCTTTGGATATGAGCTAGTCAATGGCATGCTGGGCCTCCAGCTAATCTTCCTCACGGCCTCACACTGTCTGACGGGAACCATCGCATTCCTGGACATCACCAAGAGTGGCATTTGCTCGATCATTTTTGCCGTGGTTTCCGCCATCCTCCTGCTGTTACTCGCCATTCCGCCCAGTTTCACCGAGGTGGCCATTCTGGGCTATGTCGATTTTGCATCCATCATCATTGCCATTGGAATCACAATTATCGGTACGGGTGTGCAGGCGACTAACTCACCCGCCGGACTCTCCGGCGTCGCATGGTCTGCGTGGCCAAAGGACGACATCAGCTTTACCGAAGCCTTTATCGCTGTGACGAACATCGTTTTCGCCTACAGTTTTGCTATGTGCCAGTTCTCTTTCATGGATGAAATGCACACTCCTCGGGACTTTGTCAAGTCGATCTGGGTGCTAGGTATCACCGAGATCATCATCTACACGGTGACCGGTGCCACGATCTATGCCTTTGTTGGCCAGGACGTGTCCAGCCCTGCACTCACCTCTGCTGGAACCACCCTCAGCCGCATTGCATACGGCATTGCTCTCCCTGTGATCTTCATCAGTGGTTCGATCAATACCGTTGTATTCGGGCGTTTGGTTCATGGCCGCATTTTCGCCAACTCCCCTATCCGCTTCATCAATACCAAGATGGGATGGTTGACATGGTTGGCGGTGATCACCGCCGCCACCATTGTGGCATTTATCATTGCTGAGGTGATTCCCTTTTTCAACGACTTGCTTTCAATCTCCTCTGCTCTTTTCATCTCTGGTTTCACCTTTTACTTCCCTGCCATGATGTGGTTCATGCTCCTTCGGGAAGGCAGCTGGAGCGAACCCAAGAACATCATGCTGGGAGTCCTCAACGCAGTGGTTTTCTTGATCGGTATGGTGGTGCTTGTCGGAGGAACCTATTCCAGCATTGATGACATTGTAAGTTCTTTTTTTCCCCCAGGATAGTCTATCATGTAGGAATTGTGATGCTAACTCGCTCAACTAGATCATCAAGTACGACCATGGAGAAGTTGGTGGTGTCTTCTCGTGCGCTGCTCCCGAGTAAGATCGATTTCTTTTTTTTTTTTTCTCTCTTCTGGTTATTAGCATATCTCAACATGAGTTATGAGCGTGCTCAAGCTGGTGCTTGTACAGGAATTAGTCCCTGAATCCTGGTTTGGTTCGAGATGGGAAATTCATTTCTAGGCGTTGCATCTTCATGGTTCATCATGGAATCTGGAGCAGGAAGCGAATTATGTATATGTATTATATAGTATCCATCTTATTAAATATTTATAAGTCATGCAAAACGGGGTTTGTAAGATAGGTGAACCCTACTCCGTACGTATAATGCTGAAATACACATGGTACGACATACCTTGGAACTTTGTACATACTTCGCCCCTATAGTGGATGAAATTATTAATGGAAGCAGAAGAATTTCGAAGGAACAACGGTGAGCCACTCCCGTTCTATTTATAGATACTTCCAAGGTTGTTGAGGGATTCCCCACGACCCTTAATACCAAGTCTGCCCAAAAATAAGTGGGAAAATCCGGTTTCAATATGGAGTAGTGCACAGCTATTATGGTATGTATGTTTCTCCGGTGCGTTAAGTCATTAGACGCTGATTGGCCTCGAGTCGGATATCGTGGGTACCACTATAAATCGGAGAAACATGAGCAAAATGTGGAGAGTAACAATATGAAGTGTGTTTTGATTGCTATTTACTATTTACTCTCCATATACGTAAATGACCGATAAAGTGCTTAGTACTTCGTAACTCGATCTAGCGATTCCAATAAACGAATCTGCATCTGGGAATATTATACGGATACGGAGCACGGAGTAACTGCTCAGGGATATATGTAAGACATCCATACACTAATGAGAGAGATCGGCAATATTGCCCCATAAAATAGTCACACTGATGTCAATCTCGGGGGATATCGATGCTGTAGTCTGATGTACTCCGATGCTTGGCTTCGAGAATAGTTTCCATGGCTGAGACATCAACCTCGGCGATGGCAGTGGCGCTCCAACCCCGGAAGTATAAGAAGGGGAAGCATTTCAGCATTCAAAAAATATCAACTACCAATCCTCTCAATCCTCTTTATTCAACCGTTCATACATTTCAACCCAAACTTCTCGCTTTCCCCCTTCTCCGCCAATATGCAGATCAAGAACCTCGCCATCGCTGCTTCCGTCAGCGCCGTTGCCTCGGCCGCCCCTTCCACCCAGTCTAAGACTTTTGGTGTTGTGGCTATTCACTCTGGCAGTGACGTGCAATACTCTGCCTTCAATGCTGCTAAGAGCAGCATCTTCGCTGGTCTGCCCAGTCAGGGTGCCAGTTGCGCTCGTCCCAAGGAGCAGCAGGCTACCTTCTACATCAATGACGGTGCTCTGTACCTCTACGATCAGTCCGCCACTCCCCAGGAAATTTACGTCGATCGCTCCGGCATGGGTATGTTATCACATTCATAATACCACCAGGCTGGCACATAACTGATTTTGATAATACAGGCCAGGGCAAGATTGGATACACCACGGGTGCCCAGCCCGCTCCCAAGAACGCCGAGCGCAAGGGCTGGACCGAGAAGGATGGCCACCTTCAGTTCGGAGGACACGATCTGATTGCCTGCCCTAACAGCATTGACGGTGCCTGGAGCATCTGGGCTTCTGCTGGCGTTGCCAACCCTGCTGGCAACACCGACTGTGTGGGCATTGCCGCTCGTGTCGAGGAGACCTCGAACCCCAATGGCTGCAGCTACACCCAGTAGGTGCTCCAAGGTTGGGAGCATCATTTTGTGAATTTGTTCAAATATCTATACTTCTTGTAAAATGTCTGCATATACTTCTTTTAAGACAGATCATCTGTCTTGCTGTTTTGATGCCTGGTTTGTCGGGCTTTCATCTCGCTATTTAGCCAGCCTCTGTTTGTAGAGAATCAATCCTTCTTCTCTCTTTGCTCTTATTGTCACTCCTTACCTCGATTGAGGGATGTAGTATTTCGCTATTGAGCTTATCCATCCTTCGAGGCTTGAATATCGAACTAGGAATATGGCCCCGCTACGTACCGTCAAACCCCATTAAAATGTAAGGATCGTCCAAGAGCAAAATCCCTGCGAATTAACGGGGTTTGTAAACAAGTGAGGGTTTTGTCCAGGTGCCCGGGTGGGCATGGGATGAGGAGGCGTGAGCTTTGGGTTAACGTATTTCACTACCGGGCTGGACAAACCCCCGAGCTGAACACCCGAAAACACCATAGTAAATGCGAGATATTCCACATTTATTCCTCAACAGCCATATGTTGATTTATTTCCCTATTTGCCAATAGTTATTGATAAGACTTGCTAGCAATATATATATCAATTTCAAAGAGGGTAGAGTACTCCCTTACTACCATTTCAAAAATCACCGAAAATTACGTGATTAGAATCTAGAGATATATATATCGCTGTCATAAAGATATTAAATCTCCCTGAATACCCTAGGTATGTTAGGTATCAACTACAAAGCACTATGCCAAAAATAAAAGCTCCTATAGACCACGGTTGTTGAGATATAGATACGGAATATATCGCATTTACTATGGTGTTCTGGGGTATCCAGCTCGGGGGTTTGTCCAGCTCGGTAGTGAAATACGTTATGTAATTGTGGTGTTTTTGTATTATATAATCTTATTTTAAGGGACGGGCGTTTTAAACCAGCAGAAAAGGGCGGGATACGGAGTTAAGCCAATGAAATTATTTATTATAAAGCACGTGGGCGGTAAGCTCCAAAACCAACTTTGCAAAGCAAATTTCGCGAGATCGAGGGTGCGCTATACCGAATTGAGCAGTCTTGGCGCTCTTTGCTATGGCCAATCCCAAAGTTCATTATTGCAACGAAAGGCCTCCCGAGAGAGTGCAAAGTTATAGGCGCTTTGTGACGTGTGAAGGGAAAGCCAGATCCTACACAGCCTCCGCAGTCGAGGTCCCCATGCGTCCCTCCTCAGCCATTTTCTCCTTGTTCATGGTGTCAACGGTCTCAGAGCGGGTATCGCTGGGGGAGATGAGCCTTTCTCCACAATGTTGGTCTCGTCTGAATTCGTCGTGTCGGCAGCATCTGAGAATTATCAGCGTGTATTCCTCACGAAAACATTCAATCAAGTTCAAATGATGACAAGACTTACCAGGTTGAGGCTCCTTGGGTGGGGGGCAGTAAAAGCCAACGGCGAGGCAGATCACCATAAGAATAATCTCCTCGAGGACGCCCATGCAGAGATTGACAGTGGGGTTGGGCTCAAAAAGGTTGAACCGCGCGATACTCGTGTAATCACCCAAACAGCCGTAAATGGTGCGTACGATGAGCAGTGGCGCACAGGCGTGGACTGAGTACAGGATGATCTTCTCGTTGCGAGGCAACTCGTTGCGGTAAATGGTCAGGTACCCCATAATGGCCAGCAGGAGACCCAAGCAGCCGACGAACAAGCCCAATGCGGCTTGGAGCATGCGGGGGATGGTGTAGCTATCGAGGGCCTTGATAGCGCCGGCGATACCAAGGGCCAACCCGACCAAGCTGACGATGCTGACAAAGATGAAGATCCATTTGGAGAGCTTGTTGATCGAGGCGTTTCTGAACCAGACATGCCTACGTCAGTCTCAAGTCCCGGGTAGGTGGATATCAGGTTGCGACTTACACTCTTTGCAGCAAACCCACGGCAGCCAGTGTTAGGGGAGCGATGCCCAACAAGTCGCATGTGATTTTTGTGGTGATAACATTGATCGAGTCATCAGTGATGGTGATGAGCTGGCATACAGCGCCGGCGATTCGGAGACAAGCGAGGATAATGAGGAATCTCCAACATGATGCCACGGCCTTCATTCCTTGCTGGTAACACAAAAGAATGGCGAGGAAGAGGCAGGGCACGAACGCGATGAGCTGCAACAACGCGATACCATCTTGATAGCTAAAGGTCATCTTGGATCGAGAGGGGCCGGAGCGGCGAATATGGGCGGGTAGGTGTCTTGCTGATGGCTGATTGATGGATAATCTAGATTAACTAGTATGAAGGATAGGGGGAGAGTTGGGACTCGGGAGTCATTCGAATACCAGCTCTTGACTTGGAGAAAACGATAGGAGAATAAATTAAAATAAATGAAAGGTCCCGGGGTAAAATAAGAGAGCGGCCTCCCGTGGGAATAGTTGTACGATGAACAGATGGCAATGTGTTTGGGCTGTGCACTTGAACACCAAAACGAGGGATTCAATGACAACTTTAGGGTTTCGGGGATCTCCATGGGGAACAACTACCTAACATCGAGCATACCTCATTAGGAATAGTGAATGGGTGATGATGTGGATACCTGTGCCCTATGGCTCTCTTCTTTAACCTCTCACAAGCTCTCCCAAGCCCCCCTAAGCCCTCCCAAGCCCTCACAAGCCTTCGGCAGATCACAGATTGCAAGGCACAGTGGGGCCGGAGATGGAACTAGGCTTTGGATCTACACAACGTTTACGAAGTATAGTATATTTTAAGCCATGCACGGAGTACGGAATTCATCAGGCAGTAACATTAAACCTTGATTTCTCTTGATTTATTTAATTCATTAAAGTAGTTTAATTAGTTTAATTAGTTTAATGACCTAGGCAACATGATTTGACCTTCCAATCTTCGAATTTGAGGTGATCAAGATTTCCCCAATTGGGCCATTATAAGAGAGCGCTAGTCCATTTCCGTCACCGTTAGGTTCCTTTTTGTTTTGACTCCAAGCTGTCCATTTTGGGTAACATTTCCCACTCTCGTCCAAGGCCGCTCTTACCTCTCCTATCCATTAAGGCTTGACGGCTGAATTGCCATTTGACACGAGTTGCCTACTATGGAGTAGGAACACGTGCTATCTCCCATCTTCCTTTGAACAGCCTACGGAATACCTAGGTACTTTACGCGAAGTTTCTGTAATAAGCCTATTATCTTACTAGTGTCGACTACCACCTCCGTTATCCACCCTACTGTGTCGTTTCCCAGCGGGACTAGCACTCTTCAAGATCGTTACTACATGCAGACAATGTCAGCCCGGAGGATCATGGGTGACGGTCTCGTTTCTACTTGTAGCAATCCCCCAGTGGAGATCCGGGCGACATCTAGCCAGGAACACTGCTGACAGCGTGATGGTATTCCGTGATGGTATTCCGTCTATATAAAAGACAACAAGACGGGATGTCTGCTTGGGGGTGATGAACATGTTTTGAAGTTCCATCATCTTGGCCTTCCATCGCCCTGGCCTTCTCATTATTTAAACATTGAGCCGGCTTTTGCTTTCCTTTCACCACTCAAAAAAACGAAAGACTAATTTATCACGATGGCCGAGACCGAGCAGCGTCAGCTCGTGTATTGGCTGGAGCAGCTCGAGGGAAGCCAGCCCGCCGAGCTGCTCTACGACAAGCCCCGGTCGGCCATCTCCTCGGGCAAGGCGCAGGTCCGCCACTTCGCCCTCGATGACCAGCTTTACCTGGAGCTCCAGGCCTTCTGCCAAACACATCAGGCCACGCCCTTTGTGGTGCTCCTCGCCGCTTTCAGGGCGACGCACTACCGCCTCACCGGTGTCGACGATGCCACCATTGGCACACCCATCCCCAGCAACTCCAACCTCCTATGCCTTCGCATCACCGTCGAGCCAGAGGACTCGTTCCAGGCTCTCGTCCAGCGCGTCCAGCAAACCAACAGCGCGGCCACTAGCAACCAGGATGTCGCCTTCGAGAAGATCGTCTCGGAGCTGCATCCCGCCGCCGCCGACCGGTCCCGTAACCCGCTCGTTCAGACGATATTTGCAGTTCACTCGTCAGAAGATGCCAACAGCCCACGGCTCGAAGGTTTGACGGTAGCCACGTCCAAGTTTGACATTGAATTCCATCTCATCCAGGAGGCTCAGCGCATGAGCGGTCACATCATCTTCTCCGATGATCTGTTTAACGCTTCGTCCATCCGCTTCGTCGAGTCCGTTTTCACTGAGGTCCTCGGCCATGGCCTCAAAACACCCCAGGCCCTCGTCTCGACACTGCCTCTTACCCAGGGTCTCTCTACACTGGCCGATATGGGCCTCACAGATATTGCGCGCACCGATTACCCGCGCGACTCCAGCGTCGTCGAGCTCTTCCGGGGACAGGTCTCTCTCAGCCCCAACGCCATTGCCGTCAAGAATGCATACTCATCTTCTCAGCTCACCTACGCGGAGTTGGATCGGCAATCGGACCAGCTCGCCCACTGGCTGGTCCAGCGCGGGCTCGCCCCAGAGACCATGGTCGCGGTACTGGCGCCGCGGTCGTGCGAGACAATCGTGGCCCTGTTGGCAATTCTCAAGGCAAATCTGGCCTATTTGCCTCTCGACGTCAACGTTCCCGTGGGCCGCCTCGACAACATCCTCTCCGCGGTCCAGGGAGACAAGCTCGTCTTTCTCGGCGCCGGCGTCACGCCTCCCGCTCTGCAGCTCGAGGACGTGAGCTTCCGCCACATTACCCAGGTCCTGAACGAGCAAGGTCAACTCTTCACTGGCGCTCTGCCGACGCCAACGGCTTCTAGCCTCGCATACGTCATGTTCACGTCCGGGTCAACGGGCAAGCCCAAGGGTGTCCAAGTGGAGCACCGCGGCATCGTGCGCCTGGTGCGCGAGACCAACGTGGCCTCCAAGACACAGTCAAGTGGCAACATCGCGCACGTTGCAAATCTGGCCTTTGATGCCGCGACGTGGGAAATCTACGCCGCGCTGCTCAACGGCGGCACGCTGGTCTGCATCGACTACATGACGGTAGTCGACCCAGTCACCCTAGGACAGGTGCTGCAGCGCGAGGCCGTGCGGTCCTGCATGCTCACGCCTGCTCTCCTCAAGCAGTGCCTTGCCAACGCGCCATCTGCTCTCTCCGGCCTGGAACTACTCTTTGCTGCCGGAGACCGCCTCGACCCACGCGATGCTGCCCAGGCCAAGAGCATCATCAAGGGTGACCTCGTCAACGCCTACGGTCCCACTGAGAATACCACCTTCAGCACCATCTACAAGGTCCCGGTCAACGAGAAGTGTGTCAACGGCATGCCCATCGGTGTAGCCATCAGCAACTCGGGCGCCTTCGTCATGGACCCGGAGCAGCGCCTCGTGCCTCCTGGCGTCATGGGTGAGCTCATCGTCACTGGCGACGGTCTCACCCGTGGATACACCAACGCGGAGCTCAACAAGAACCGCTTCGTACATGTGGCCATCAACGGCGAGTTTGTTCGCGCCTACCGCACCGGTGACCGAGTGCGCCACCGCCCTTCGGACGGCATGATCGAGTTCTTTGGCCGTATGGACTTCCAGGTCAAGATCCGTGGTCACCGTATTGAGCTGCCCGAGGTCGAGCAAGCTCTTCTGCGCATCGAGTCTGTCAGCGATGCCGTAACTCTGGTGCACCAACCTGAGGGTGAGCTGGCGGAGCTTGTTAGTTTTGTCACTATTCAAGGTAATATCGCAGATGCCGTTGCTCAGCAGGACTCTCAGGACCAGAAGGACGCCGGTGACGACGGCCGACTCGAGAACCCAGTCGAGTCTTGGAGGGATCTGTTCGACCGCCAAGAGGGCCAGGTGGTCGAGGCTCTGCTCAAGACAGCGCTGCAGGCTTCGCTGCCCAAGTACATGATCCCTGCACGCATTGCCGTGCTTGACAAGATGCCCATCAACGCTAATGGCAAGGTGGACCGCAAGCAGCTGGCCGGACTGGCAAGCGTGTTCGCCAAGGCGACCAAGGGCTCCCGCCAGATCGTGGACCCGCGCACAGACCTGGAGCGTGCTGTGTGCGAGGAGCTCTCCAGTGTGCTCAACGTCGATGCCGTCGGCATCACCGACAACTTCTTCGACCTTGGCGGCCACTCGCTCAGCGCCCCGCGTGTTGCTGCGCGCATCAACCAGCGCCTGAATGCAACTATCATCCTGCGTGACGTGTTCGCCTACCCTGTGGTTGCTGACCTGGCCAAGAAGGTTGGCGAGTCGCTGGGCGAGTCGCCTCAGGACGAACTGGACCAGGACTCCGGCGAGGACGAGGCCATTGAGATCGAGGACGAGGAGGAGCTGCTGACCATGTCGCTAGCCACCAAGCTGCGACACTTCAACTCTGTTGCCCGTCCGCAGTGCGTCAAGTCGCTAGGCATCGCCAGCGAGGACATCGAGGAGGTTCTGCCAGCCACGGGTGTCCAGACCCGCATGCTCGTCTTCGTCGAGGAGGCCGAGGAGATGAACATCACCAAGCCCTGCATCGAGCACTTTGTTTACCATGTACCCGACGAGCTCGACGCCGCCCGCCTTAACCAGGCCATACTCGACGTCACCAAGCGCCACGACGCCTTCCGAACCGTCTGGGTGCAGGTCGAACACCCCCTAAGCCCCTACGCCCAGTGCATCCTCAACCCTGCGCACCCCCGTGCCCAGCTGCCTATGGTACACAGCGTCGTGCACGAGTACGACACCAGCCCAGATAGCCTCTGGGAGCAGACCATCAGCAACGCCCAGCGCAGCGCCGAGGAGTACATCCGTCTGGACCGCGTTGGTGCCGTTGTCCAGTCCGTGCGCTCGGCCGACAACAAGCACCACGTCCTCATCTTCTCCCTCTTCCACCTCATCTACGACGGCATGAGTTTCGACTTCCTACGCTGCTCATTTGCCCAGGCGTACGAGGGCGTTCCTCCCAGCAACCTGCCTGCGGTCGGCATGCGCCTCCCCGTCGAGGAGCACTACAGCACCGACTGGCTTGCTACCAGCATGTACTGGATGAGGCGTCTCGCCGGTGTGGCTCCCTTCAAGGCTGGCCAGACGGTGCTCAAGGGTACGGTTCCCGGACAGTTCACGTCGATCCGCACCACCCAGGACACCGCCTGCGAGATCCTCGAGTCCTCCATCAGCTTGAACGAGCTCTTCTCCCTCAGCAAGAACAAGTTCCCCTCGGCCATGTCCATTGTT